TTTGAATTTGATAAATTTCAATCGAAATACAAAATTGTCTAAAATAATAGTCCGTACAACCATTATTTTAGATCTTTTGAAAACAATCTAATGATAGTCGTTCAATCTACGTCTCAGAAGGAAATTCTAAACATATATTTGGGACGAACGATGAACTCTAATTGTAACTAACTATTTCTCGCTCTAATAGATCGAAAAATAACTAAATATTTTGTGCCAAATGGAAAATGTTAATTCTTTAAAACAGCACTTTTTGTACTTGTTATGATACTGTTGTTAGATTAAAACTTTTCATAACGGATGGAATTTTGCATAACAAAAAAGTAAACAGTGTTTTATCCAAATTTTCTCTTCCGAAGAAGAGATTTTAAAACTCTACAAGAGCGAACCAAGGAGGAGAAAAGCGAAAATTCCATACTTCAAGGTTTGAGTATCAATGAAGTATTTTGAATAGACTTATATAAAATGAATTCAAACTAATATGTTCGTTATACTTGTTGATAGTAGACTTGATATAGCTAAAACATTTTAGAGGATAACTTTGACATACCCTTGGGGTACGTCATTTTTCTCCTTGAAGCGAATACATATTTTTCGAAAGCCCACACAGATAATGTGTGCTATAATAACTATAAAGTCTAGAAGAGTCAATCCAAACTTTATAAGGACGCTGGATAAAGCATTGGAATTTGCGAAATTTGATTCATTCATCTTTTTTCTTATCGATATTTGTCTTGAAAAGCATGAGCGGAATCTCTCGTATCTTTCCTAATACAAGAAAAAAGGTGGCGATGATCAATTCCTACGTATTAGGTTGATATTAAAACATTGCTTTTTTTCTCGATTATAACGAAATATATTCTTGAATTATTATTATTATTATTATTATTATTTGTATTATTTTAAACTTACATGTTCATTTAAAGGTGAACAACTAGCAGCATTTAAATTACAAAGTGGATCTTTATTTGTTGTTGTAATTGTTGAAGATTTATTTGTTCTATGATGTGCACTACCCGAACGTTTATTTTCATCTATTGTTCCTCCAATAGGTGTTGATTTTATTGTCAATGGTGTTTTTAAATTAATACTTTGTGAACGTTTTGTATTAAAATCATTTCTTGGTGTACCTACTGTTGATGATGATGATGATTGTCGTTCTAAATAATCCACTGTTTTTCTTATCAGTATGATTAATAAAATAATAATATACCTTCTGAGTCATTTTGTGATGTTGTCATTGTTGTTGTTGTTTTTCGAATAATAGGATAATTATCATAACCATTTTTATCAGGAAAATTATCATAAGCATCACTTGTTATAGAATCATTTGTAAAATGTCGATTAGTTTTTTTATTTAATGGATAAGATGATTTTCTTTCGAAATTTGTTGTTGATATAATAGTATTATCAGTGTTAATAGTTGGATTTGTTAAATTATCATATGTTGATTTGTCAATTTTAATATTTGGTTTTGTTGGTGATGAATGTTGTCGTAATAAAGAAAATGTTGTTGATGATGTTTTACTAGAATTTTCATCGATTAATGATGATTTTGTTGATGATGATGTCGATGATGATTTATCTAATTGTCCATTACATGTTTGTTGTTGTTGTTGTGTACGACGACGAAAAAAACTATTCGTTTGATTTGAATTAACTGGTAATGTTATATCATTACAAGCAATTGTACGACGTGGATCATTTGTTACACTTGAAGTAAGCATAGTATTTGGATGAAGAATAGTTGCTGTACGACGAATAGACTTGAAAATAAAAAAAAACACATAAACGAAATAATTATATGATAATTTCTTTTTTTTTAATTACTCGTTGTGCTGCAGAATTTAACGGTGGTGTCGACATTTTAGATGGAGATATTATTTTATTTTGTTGTGGTGATATATCAAGACCTTGTAATGATATTTGTTTCCATTTATTAGTATTGGTATGTTGTTGAACTGTATGGTTAATTGTCGATGCTGGTGAAGTAATTATTGTTGATGTTAATTGTTCATCTTTTGGTTCGGTATTTTCTTTGATCATCTGAATAGAAGAAAATAAAAAATAGTCAATTTTAGTGATAATGTTGACCATGATCATGTCAGGATGAGAAACGAGAAGAGAAAAAAAAGAGGATATACATCATCTATATTATAGATAGAATATTATATACATATATATGTATGTATCTCTTTTAGAAGAAAAAAGTAATGAAGATTAATATCCGGCACATGTTTGTTCATTCATCTTATATCAATAGAGAAAAATGAGATGACTCAATTACGTAATCTTATTTTTTTTCACCATACCTGCAGTTTAGCCAAGGGAATAATATCAGCACCCGGTGGTCGTTGCCATACAGTTCTTTGACTTTTTGCATTATAATAATAATTACGCTTTGTACTAGCATCAAATAATTCCCACCATTGATTTTCATCTGTACGTTTACTAGAATAGATTAATTAATTTAAAATCATATTTAAATATCCTAATAAAATTACACACAATGTCTTCATTCTTTATTATATTATCGTTCTATTGTTCATCTTATTTCTTTCGCAACGACGAGTGAATTCAAGGACATTTATTGATATATATATATATATAGATAGATAAACTATATATACATTAGTGCAAAAAAAAAAGACAAGTCTTAATATTACCAAGAAACTTATTACATGATACTACTGGATTACACTGTAAGTCTGGTAAATATACCAGGATGTACTTTCGTTGGTTAATTGATAATTCTTTCTTTTCCCATTCCATTTTGTCTGACTAGTAGTCAAGCAAGAGAGACAACCAGATTTTCTTCTTCTTCTTTTTCACTAGCTATGGAATTTACATCTTGATACAAAAACAAAATAAAAGAAAAAAAAAATTCTACAGAGTTATACAAAATTGTTCTTGTCTATATCCAGACATCTGGTCTACTCTCTATCTACTAGTATATAATGACATTTCTTCGTTTCTTTTGTGTCTATATGAGAATAAACGTGCATTTGTTCATATGTGTACTTATGTTTGTCGTTTTTTTTTTCTCACGCTATGTATTGACTTGACCTTTTCTCATTCGTTCGTTTATTAGTGAACGAGAAACAAAAGGTAAAATACGATGTGTCTGCTGTCGTCTAGATTTTCAAATACAAACGTAATTAGTCTTTCAATGAAATCGAAGATGATAGATTAGATAAACATTTAATGAAGTATTTTTTTTTTTCGTTTCAAATATATATACATATATATATATATGAAACTTACATTCGTGCACCAGGTGGTGCTTCCCAAACACATTCACCAGTTACAAGATTGGCATACATAATGTCCTTGGATTTTGGTTCGATAATTTGAACCCATTCGAGTCTAATATAGAAAAAATAAATAAAAAAGAAACGATAAAAGCAATCAAAATGAAAACAATTGATATTATTTTTCTTGTTACATTAAAAATAACAATCATAAAAATAATTATTAACATACCTTTCACCCATATTTGTTTTTTATTTTTCTTCAAAGATTTATAAATAACACCTTCATAAGAATAGTAATATTAGTAAATAGACATACACATACACAAATCGTCGCATGATTTATCGACGAGTTGATATTTTAGTTGTATGTAAATATCTATATACAAACAGATTGTTGACGATCATATATATTGTACAAAAAAGAAAAAGAAAAGAACCTTGTCATTCATTTTTTTTTTTCAATATGAACCCCGAAAAAAAAATGAATATGAGTAAAGAACGTTTTTATGATGACGCCCGTCGAGAAATTAACAAACACGAGAGAGAGAGACAGAGCGAATATAAACGTAAGAAGCATCGACATACGTGTACACTTCAGGGAAAGCTATTAGTGTAATCATGACTGATGAGAAGTGAAAACAGGGTCGATCTTTTTTTTTTCGAATATTTAATTGCTATTGAAAAAAAAAATGGTTTCATTATCGATTAGAAACAAAAAGAAAAGGTGTCAATGAGATATGTTGAATAGAAAGAAAATAATTGGTAAGATATTTCGATAATCATCAGTATTGTTGCTTGACTCTAAATAATAACATAACAAATGCCTGCTTTCTATCATCGATCGATCTGTTCAACCAAATGAGTATAATGATAATTCTCATCTCAAAAAAAAAAAGGAGGAATTTTCTTTCTCTTTCGGTCATAGGCATCGACTAAGGAAAAGAACGTTTGCGATCGTAACTACTCAATCGTCACGATCTTCCAGTACATATATGTATGCTTGTCTGACTATATAGGCGGCAGAATGAGGAAATAGCTTATAAGAGGTGACCAAAGAGAAAGGAAGAAAAGAATGTGGGAGAGGTCATCCAACATCGCTTACTTATCGGACATGCGATTACGTTGGTCAATCCTCCTATGTAATCGATTGACCGACTTGTCTTTCTTATATTCCTCATAAAAACAATAAACGAATGAAAGGAAATATTAAACAACAACAACAACAGCATTCACAGAAATAAATGGGAACCAGATTTTTTTTTTGTTTTCTTCTATCTTCAAATAAATTATATGGAAGATATAGAATCTACACTTACGTTATTAATCGACATTTGATTGACTTTTTTTTCTTTTTGAAAAATAATTTTTCTGTATTTAGAATTTATAATTAAAATCAAACATAAAGGATTTATTCTACAAACTAGAATTAACTCTAAAGACACTGAAATAAACATAATTTAAGAAAAAAGACGAGATCTATAATCATATTGTACAAACAGAAAACACGCAAACTATAGAAAGGGGTAAAACAAATGTATATCAAGAGAACAACAAAAAAAAAATAAAATAAAGAAAGACCAACCATTCTACTAACGGAATGGAGACTTACTATTCACCAATAATAATTAATATAGAATATTGGTGGCGCTAGATGACATTTTTTTACTTGAAAGAAGGAAGAAAAAGAAAGGATAGTAAATAATTTTGTTTTTACTTAGCTATTTTTGATAACAAAAAAGAAAAAAGATGCCTAAACCATCACGTCGTGTAATAGATAAGCCAGAACTATTGACATTCAATGAACTTCATGGAAAAGGAATAACACTTTCAAATAATAATCGACAAGCAACACGTTCATCAGGTTTTGGTGATGCAATTGTTTTTAGTTCACGTACTATACGTACATTTGAAAAAGTTTTTTTAAAACATCGTCAAAAACAAGTTGATTGGATTGGAAGTCTACGTGTTGGATTTTGTATGCATGATCCTAAAACACAATTTACTCAAGAAACATTACCAAGTTTAGCTTTTAAACATTTAACAGGTTTATTAATATGAAAAATAAATTTTGAAAATTCTTCATTTTATTTTCGTTTTTTTTTCTGGATTTAGATAAAGGTGGATATTGGTTACGAGCTTGTCCAGATGAACTTTTACGAACTTCACCAATTATTTATGTATATTATTCTTATGGTAAGAAGAAGAGCGTTTATTAAAAAAAAAAATTTGAATAAGAGTTTGTTTTCAATCTTAGTCCGCTGTCGAAAGCTTTAGAAAGAATTTTAATAGTGATTTGACGTAGAGAAAATTGTTTTCAACACGAATCTAAGGATAAAAACATCATTATTATCAGATTTCCTCAGATAAGGTTTTCAGGAAATTGAAAGACTCATTTTTAAGCATCCAGAAAGCATATGTATAATTTTGTTTGTGTTACATAGAATGACAGAGAAAACGATTCGGGTAGAAAATGAGACGTCTTCGACTTTTCTACGATGTTTTTGAAATAAGATACGGCAATTTGATTGAAGGTTAACAAATGGTTCTCCTATAGGAAATAATAATAACATAACTTAAGAGGTTTCTATACTATTGTTGTATCTCAACCAAAAAATGTCACAGAGAACTCGGACATATCTCATTTGGGTAGAAAATTGTTTGCTCTATCATTCTATCCAATTGAAATAAAATTCTATTTACGCATTATGAATGTTGAAAAAGTAGAGTTTTGGTTTTCTGGAGATTCAATTTTTGGGAATTTGATAATAAATATTATTCAGTTATATTCTTGTTCGAAACAATTTTCTCTATTCGAATTACTATTTAAAATTGGTTTTAGAACTTCAGACAGCGAAAAAAATTGAAAACAAGTGCCAAGCTATTATTGTTGATATTATATCGTTATAACTTAAAATTGTCTTTTGAAAATCGAAAACTAATAAAGTTAAGTTTTAATTTAATAGTATTGTAAAGATCAAAATTTGATAGAAATAAACATGTACGGAAAATGAGAGTCATGTTTTCAGTTATATAGCACAATCTCATATAGATATATTGTCATACTTCTGATCTGTAGATTCTATTTTCGAATATATGGTTTTAATTTAGACTTTTAATTTATAACAAAAGTGAAATTATACATTTTCAATTTGAAGTCTTTAAAAGATGATCAAAAATTCCCTGTATATACTAATGGCCAAAGGTCTTGATAATGTTTAAGAATGCGATGAAGCTAAAATTTGATAGATACGTGTCAATGAAGTATCAAAAATTTTCGTAGATACAATGCAAAAAGTTTGAAGGACTAACAACCTCACGCTCCTTACTCGTCGAGATTCATGATAAGAGTTGTGAGATCGTTTAAAAACATTGAAATTATTTTCTACGGATTATATGAACTTATAATTTAGTAAAGAACTACGACAGTAATCTTTTTATTGTTTGTTTCTATCTAGTAGACTCTTTTTTTTAATGAAATAAACTCATACAAATAATATAATAGCTTCAATACTGTACACACGATCACTATTATTATTGTATTTCTAATCGAAATTTTTTTTTTAAATATATTTTTAAGAATTTCTTTTTGTTAGTAATTGAAAGACTAAAATAAATAAACAATAAAATAAAAATACATTATTTTTTTTTTTAGATGGTCAAATCTATGTTGGAGGATATGGCCAAACAAATCCAGCTCAAGCAGTATTAACTATGAATGAACATTTTGGTCCATATTATTTATTTTGTGAAGTATACGGTAAAACAGATCAAATTGAAATAATTGATGAAACAACATTACCGGATCAAACATTAGTTAATGATAGTTATTCAATATCAATTCATGGTAATGTTATTGATTTAGTTAATAAAAAATTAAATGATAATAATAATCTTTCTCAACTTCAACATTTTAATTATTTATATTCATCAAATATTCAACATACATTAACATTTCTTCCAACAACAAAACATAATATTATTTTAACAAATAATAATCGTATTGTATGTGTTAATAATCTTAAAACAAAATCAAGTTATGCATTTATAAATACACCTATGAAAGTTAATGATATTTTAATATGTAAAGTAATGGATTGTGATACAAATACATCAGCAATATTTTTATTTGGTTTAACAACATGTGATCCAACATCATTACAAAATCAAAATTTACCTGAAGATACTACAACATTTATAGAACAATATTCATCATCAAGATGGTTTGTTGATATTGATATAAATGCAAATATATCAATGTATGATGAACTTGCATTTTGGTTTGATTCAAATGGTTATATAAATCTTTCAATTAATAATCGTTCACCTATACAACTTAAAAATCAATTATCATCATCTGATATAACAAATTTAATTTTATATCCATTTTTTGATTTATATGGACAAATAACTTCACTTTGTTTATATAATTTATGTTCACAAACAAAATTAAATTTAAATAAAAAATCGAATGCTCGAGAATTATGTTTAATTTGTTTTGAAAATTTAGCCGATACACAATTATTACCTTGTCTATGTACATTATGTAATCAATGTGCTAGTATAATTAAACGACCAAGTTTACTTTCAGATTGTCCATTTGATAGAAAACATATAACACAAATTCGACCATTACCATAAGATGATTCTGTTATCAAAAAATTAGACAAATTTGAGAAAATAGAAAACTATTACTGATTGATTATTTTAATTGTTTTTATTACTTTCTTTCTTCTGTTTTACTTCTTATTTTTTGTTCTGTTGTCAGATTTCATTTATGTTTTTTAAATGAAAAATGAACTTCTGTGATGAATTACAAGACAGTATAAATATTTTTTCTCTCTCACAAAACAAAAACAAAAAAAAAAAAATTTACAATACCTTCTTTTTTCTTTTTAATGAAAATTATCCATATACTAAACAAACATGAAAATTTGTAATAAACTGGGATGAATATTAATGTATTTTTGTTTAGTCTTCATCTTCAAGAAATATTTTACGAGTGAACTATTTCAAATATTTCCTTTAGGTTACAATGATTTTCTATTTGTAGATACTACATAATGTTCTAATAAAAATTGGGTTCCTATTGAGGTTTGACTAAATCTTTGAATTTTGATCTGAAATATTGTGCATATAGACAACTCAACTAGACTAGCTTCTATTAAAAAATTCAGAAGTTTTGAATAATGTCTCTTCGAGATATAAGAATTTCAAGATATGCAGAATGGTCCAAAAGTAATCCGACAGTCTTTGATTGAGAATAATTTTTTGATAGGAATAAGATAGAGAGCTACGGTTCTCACTGTTCGAAAGAGAAGACGAAGATACATCGAATCGTATATTTTAGGTTTTTCTAAGATAATTTTTTAATCAATTTTCTAAAAAAATTGTCGGAAAAAATGGTTTCTTATAAAATAAGAAAAACGCAAAAAAGTGATTTTTTCACAGAAATGAATAGACAAATCGATTCAGAATTTCGAGTAGAATACCTCTAACTTCTGAAAGAGTAACTCTCAAAGTCTGAACTTTGCATAGTTTTGTAAATTTTCGACTAGCGGTTCGAATGCACAACTGATGATAAAAAATTCAGTGTAATCACATTATGAAGTACGTTGGTTTTCAAAAACGTCGGTTTAAGTCCTTGAAAAAACTAGGTCAAATTTTCTTATATTATACAATTCGACGCATCTTCATTTCCTCTTTCGAACGATGAAAACCATAGCTTTCTATCTTGTTCCTATCAAAAGATATTCGCAATCAAAGATTGTCGAGTTACTTTTGAACTATACTGTATATCTTGAAAGCTTCATATCTCGAAGAAACTGTTCAAAACTTATGAACTTTTTTCTATAAAAGGTAGCCTTGTTGAGTTGTCTATATACATAAAGTTTCAGATCAAAATTCGAAAATTCGATTTTTCTGAAAACCTGGGGCCTCTAAAAAAATTCGATAGCTTAGTCAAATCTCAATAGGAATCCAGTTCTTATTAGAACACTATGTAGTATCTATGGGCAAAAGATCATTGAACTCAGAAGAGAACACTTGAAGAGGTTCTCTCGTTGGTTATTAATTAAGTAGACACTATAATTTTTCAGCTAATTAAATGAATCAATATCGTCCCGAGACTTTGAAGATTAAAAATAAAATATGATCTATGTTATATAACTGGCTTAATAGGCATGCTAATACGTATTTAATTCGTTCGTGACAGAAAGAAATAATCAACAAGACTTTAATCCTTCATTAATAATAGAGGGAATGTGCATGTGATTCGTGACATTCAATCTTTACTATCTATCATGAATAAACTTCGATCTTTATCTTTGTACTCTTAGAATGGTATTAATATCTGTGATTATAACAACAGTTCGAAGAATTATTAATTGTTTAATATTTTGGAATTTGATGAGATATATTACAATTCTTCTAAGAATGAAGTACTGATAATTGTGATAGAGATTATATTTATGTTTGATATGAAGGTTACGAAATGCAAATTATATTTCTTACGTTGACAAGTGCTAAAAGTCATATTAAATATGTAAAGATTGTGGATGTTATCTAGGTCGAGACATCCCTGAATTTGACAATCACTTGTCATCATGTTTATCTTTTCATCAGAGATGAAGGCATTGTTGAAAGCATATACATTCGAACAATATAACTTCTGTTGGTAGTCAAAATAAATTGCATTCCATTATCTTAGAACCGACTTATATCAAGAAGAAAAGAAAATAATCACAGTAATAGTAATATTCAGTAGTCAACACGTTGTACTCATATAGTAATATATATATATATATAAAGACAATTGTAGTACGCATACAACAGTACAGGTACATTGAAAGAATAAAATTAATAAAATAAATATGTCAAATAATAATCTGTGTCCATTAGCAACTATTATTTATAGTATGAACATAATAAACATGTCGAGTTTAGTGTCTTTTAACTCAACTAGGTACTCGACAACTCGAAATCTAAGTCTAGGTACGAACTTGTTAGGTCGTTTTGGGGTGTCGAATATGAAAAAAATTGCTGAGTCGAGTCTGTCTATGATTTCATGCCCCAAAACTCAACACATCACTACGTACAATCAAATAATTGATCATTATCTTAAATGTTTTACACTGATTGTTTTTAATTATGGTTATAGACATGGAAAAAACTATTTGATCATGTCTTTATAAAAGGTCATACTTGAAAATAATTGATATAAATAAAAAGAGAGATTTTGTTTTCGATCTTTATGATGAGTTGTATAAAGAGCTGTCTTTAATACATGAGAAATACAATTTATTCGAAAGACAATAAGATATTGTCATGAAGATAAAAGTTTTCATGTATATACATGTATCCATAATTATCATGTTTAATACAGTGTTGTCAGATCTAGATACGAAAAGTTATACCCATGCAGAACTCCAGTCGAGTTACAATGATTCGCCAGTGTTATCACTCTCTTTAATCCATTACTGTGTAAGGCAAGCGAAATCATACATCGACGATCAATGTGACGGATTCTGCTCGAGAATTTCGACTCCTTTTTTGATCATTCTTTCGTGATTAACATCCAGTTTTACAATATCTAATAACTTAACTAATTCATTTTATTGGATACATTTATCTATATTAGTTCAATATTCATCTCTATTTAGATTTGTGATCTCATCTTCTTCCTCATTTGAAACTACAGCAAAATCTCTCTTTAACGAAAACCGTCGGGATTTTTTGCAAAAGTGTTCATTGTTGAGAGGCATTCGTCTATGAAGGATGCCAAATATCTTATTATGAAATGAAAAAAACAGTTTCAGAATATAAGTTTCTTTACTAGTTTTGACGTAATCAGGGATCATTGTCTATATTGTTCATCTTTCTTCATTTGATTACTAACGAATAAAGAAAAACTTTGCTTAATTTCACAACGTCCTGTATTATTCTATTTGTGTTCGATATATGTAAATTCGATGCACGTTACTATACAATATGTCCGAATATATACTCATCCGATTTTATTATGTCAAAACTTTTGAATTTTCGTTTAATACTTTGATTTAGATATTCTTTTTTTTTCAGCTGATTCATATTGTGATTTACGTTTACTAGTGTTGTTATCATTATTTAATTGAAGTTTTTAATTTAATGTAAGATGGTGTTATGATGCCATTGTTTTTCCTGATATATATACACATTTATAACAAATATTGATAGCAGCTTTAATGTATTAGGAAGAAATGATGAAAAGAATACGGAGACAAAAAATGCACATGTGTTCATTAAAGAAAAATTCAAATGGCAATCGGGAGTGTAAAAGCAATGTTCCACCTTGGAGTAAGGAGATATTCACCTATGGAAGACACATTTTCAGCAAAAATCGCTTCATAGAACCGAGGCCTTGTTCGAAATGGAAGATGTTCACTAATAAAGATTTCATTATAATATTGTTTCTCACTTTATACCAAAATACACATCATCATAGATCAAATCAACTTTGTTCAATCTGTAACCAAGATGATAAAATATCCTCGATTGCTACCGATGGCGAACAAATTGTATCATTAACTAATCATTTGAAAGAATCATTCTATTGATATCATTCAATTTTGTCTGTCGATTCAAATGCCTAATACTTCCACATTTATTAATAAAAAGTGATGGAAAATCTATTTTATTATTTTTTTTCTTTTGTTTTGATCTTGTAAACAATTATACTTAATAACAAAACAAGTAACAATATAACCTAACTTATGCAAGTCCTTTTTGTTCTCGCCATTGACTTATTGAATCTTTAATTAATGATTCTAATAGATCTGGTTTATTAAAGATAAAATATTTATCATTAGAATCAATAAACCGATGTTGAATACGATTATGAAATAGTTGTATACGTAGATATTCTTGTGATTCATCCCATATCTTTAATATACAAAAAAATAACAATTAAAATAAAGAATTTAAAAGAAAAATACTTTATTTAAATCTTTTGATAGATTTTTATCATATTGACGACGATTAACAATTGTTACAGATACATTTGAAGGAAAAGCTTTCATTCGCCATGCTAATCTATAAAAATATTCTTGTATTTTTTCTTTCATGTTTATCTTAACTTTAGTTAAATTATTATCTATTACTTCATTTGTGAAAATGTTTCATTCATATAAAAATGTTCTCGAATAGCTGAACTAATATGAGCGGCATTGCAAAGTAAATGTTTCTAAAATAAAAAATTGCAAAAATAAATAAATAAATAAATAAATAAATAATTTTTATTTTATCATTCAAATTTAATTACTTGTCGATGATTAATATTTATGTTGTTATCGTCTACATTATCAGATATTTTTGTAACCAATGGAGTATTAATCATATGTGTTAAAACAAGAATTCGATTGACACCAACAGCTGCTGATAGTTGCATAGCATGAAGGCGAGGAATTATTTTATTATACCTAAAATAGAAATCTATTAGATTGAAAACAAATCAATAGAAAGATATATATATATATATATACCAATAATCTTTCCATTGTTCATTATCAAATAAAGTTTCAACCAATGGATCAATTAAAAATAAATGACTAATATCACTAAAAACAACATTTTATATTTTTTTCTTATATTCAAGAATGCAAAAATTGATCTGATAGAATGATTTATTATAAGTACATTTCATTATTCTCAATATTAAATGATTAAGAAAATGGATCTTAAGAATGCACCAATTCCAATTCTTGGACTTGATCGGAATTGGGGTGATTGGTGTGGGTGTGAGTGAGAATTTTTGTGTACCATCACTCACATTAGACCTGTGGCAACTCCCGTTTCTATGAACTTATTCATTTTCGAGAATTGGATCCTTCTTAGACCTGCATCCATTGAAGCTTACAAATTTAGGTGAGCTGCTACAGATGGAATCGATTCATGGTTTTTTTGGAACCGAACCAATTCCATCTCTGTGAACTGCTCAAAAGAACTTTTGAAAGAGATCTAAGGCTATGTGAGGCATTTGATTGAGTGATTTTAAAATGTTCTATAGAAATTCTTACAGCTGGAAATGTTTTGGCGTATTTTTAGTGAAAATTTAATCTCAGACTCATCTGGACTAAAAAATGATATATAGCAATAAATTATAGTGGTGTCATACGCTCGACCATGCGTTTCTCAAAAATAATGACACAAACTTCAAGTCAGTTATTTCTAAAATAATCACACGGCTGTCCTTATGAATCTAATATAATTTATTTCTATATATTATTTTGTAGCCTAGGCTATCCTAGATTAGATGCCATTAAAAGTAGATCGAAACATTTTAGTTGTAAAAAGTTTCATAGAGCTCTTTAAATGAGTCGTTCAACCCTGAATAGATCAGTTCCTTTCAAAAGAACTGTTGGAACAGTTCTCAAAATTGAAATTAATTAGATTTCAATAGGTTTGTCTGCTTATCCGGATCTGTGAAATGAATTTCATTTAATTAGCTTCGACCTCTTTTAGGCTAAATCAGTACAAAATGTAATTAAATCGGATTCATTTCACAGATCCGGATAAGCAGACAAATCTATTGAAACTCAAAAAAAAAACATCAAATTTCTCATACAGTCACGGACGAATAGTAAGATTTACTTGCACACTTTTGAACAAATTACTTCACCAAAAGACTGCGCATATGTTACATCTCTTTTACAAGTATCACGTAGTATATGTAATATAAATGTGAGTGACCAGATACAAAGAAAAAATAAAAAAAAAAATTTATGTTTCCTTACTTTTGAACTACCCTGTGTTGGCATAAATCAATAATCTGATTCCATTATTTTTCAAGAGAAAAACCAGAATGAGAATTAGTGCATCCCTAATCAATCTCATTCTATAGATAGAAAGTGTTTGAATCAACACATATAACTTATATTTATAATGGTTTTCTACTTCGCAATTCATCCTACTCATATACATCTTGATAAATGACAATTATTATCTTTATCTCATTGCAGTATACAAATCGCAAGAAAACATAAATATTTTAATTTCATTGAATAGTCAACTTACAATTCATACATTTGAGCATAAAAACGAGTTACAATAGCACCAAGATCAGCACCAACTAAAATAAATGGTTTTGGTTGTTGACTTGTTACACTTACAAGACGATTGAGATCTTCAGACATTCTAAAAAGAAAAATAATTAGATAATCTTCTTTGAAATTTTCGTCGAGAATATCAAACTTTACTTTTCTACGGTGAAATCCATACCACGATGTTTCATTGGTTTATCTTCTTTCTCATTTGATTCTATATTGAAAAGTACAATAGTTGATTTTTTTTCTTCGTAGATTTCCAAATCTTACTTTGTTTAAATGTCAAACTTAATGGTGGATCACTCATACCTAATCCAGCTCGATCATAGATACATACCTAAAGAGAATTTATTACAACCAGAAAAAAAAATGACATATTTACCGTTGTTGTCTTCTTAAGATTTTCTTGAAGAGGAAGCCAAATATCCGAATTCATACCAGTTGGAGCATCAAAAATAACTATGACAAACAAAAATTTGTTGTTTGTTATTTTTTAAATATCTTCAAAGATACACACCCGTTGGTGAACCGTGTCCTCGACAACGTAAAAATAATTTTTGACCATGACCAATATCATATGGTAAACCTAAAACAATCAATTGAAAAAAGATATATTGAACATTGATTATCTACCGTGTTGTCCTAGTAAAGGTGCTTCACGTTTCAATGATGCATAATTAATCAATGGTGGCACAATAATAATAAACAGTAGTAATTGAATTAATCTCCATAATGTACGAATACATGTTTTCCATAAATTTTTTAATGCAATAGAAACCATTGATGAATCTATATTAATAAAAATAGATTTATTCATTTTAATATGCAAATTCTTTTTTTGTTTTCTCCTTAATTTATTTAAAGATAATAATCATTGCTAGGACAAAAAAAAATAAAGCTTTAAGATTTTTATCATAGAATTATCTAACATATATCTATAATCGAATATAATCATTATTTCTGATTGATACAGTGTCATGTATCAGTAGATTTAATTTCAATAAAAAATAAAATATATTTTGATTTTTCTAATTATGATACTTAAAATATTCTTGATTTTTATATCATATATTTAAGTATTGTCATTATCAATAAATCAGATGTCTTATTGAATGTTTCAAAGTTTTGCTTTTTCAATAAATGATCATTCTGCTTCTTTTATATAATATGTTCAATACTAGAATTGTTCAATTTCATTTTATGTCACGTATCAATATATAATATAAATTTAATATTAGAACATTGTAATTCGTAGATACATTGTTAGGTGTTTTATTTTTTATATTAGTCTGAGTATTCATCATTATATATCTAAAGATAAGATAACCAACTTGAAATAGAAGATTGAACTAATGATTGTCCTTCATTCACTTAAACTTTTACTCATAAAATAAACAAAAGAAAAGCAAAAAAACAATGTATGTATGTATTTGTATATATATATCTGTCTGACATTATCTTATAAATAGCAGACAAAAACAAAAGAGAAAAAGTTATACGTCATAAAATGAGAAAATATGACAATATTATACAAGGTAAATGTTTGTTTTTATATACATACAATGCGTCACAGTAAGAATAAATACAAAATGAACGCAATCAAATCAATGGTGTACATATGCGTACACTCCCAAATCGAACAACAACAACAAAAAAAAGGTAAAACTCAGAAGATATAAAAGAAAAACACAAAATTTTAGTTTTATTCTTCATCCTCAGATTCAGTATTGTTATCATCACAATTGTCATCGTCATCATGTCGTTGTTCGAGATGATTCGTATTAACTGATGCTAATGTTTGATAAGTCTAGAGAAAGAAAAAAAATTTTTTTTTTTGTTTTTAATATTCTAAAACTTTTTCAATTTTTCTACCCGGTGTTGAATATGCTGCTGTTGTTGTTGTAAAGCTTGAAATTGTTGCATTTGAACCTGAAAATAGATAATTATTTACATGAATGATAATATCTGACAAAATAAACACATATGTAGACATGAAAGGACAACATTGAAATTCGATACTCACTAATATATCCTTGATTAGAGAAATAGTATAAGAAAATTTGAATTTTTTTTTTCTGTTTATCATAATTTTTTTTCTATCTTTTTTTTTTGGAATATTATGTACACACAAAACAAGAACAACAAACAAAAAATAATTGACAACAAAATCGTTTCGAAATAAATTAAAAAAAAAGAAAAGAAAAGAAAAGAAAAGAACAAAAACCGGAAGAAAAAAACAAATGCCGATGTTGCTATATTCATTAATTATCGTTCACAGCTTTATCTAGAAGTTGATCTTATATACATATACACAAAGTTTCTTATCAGGTGTATAAGGGAAAAACAAACCAAAACGAAAGAGATTCATCATTTACATAAGTGAATGGTAACAACAAACAAAACTTCATGTGTATGTTTTTTTATGTATACTCAGAATGGAACAGAAATAAAGTATATATACATATATATATATATATGTTGTTTTTTTATGTGTGTGGACACTACTTCTACTGTTCACTAATATCCTACATTGTTATGTGGCATTTGTAATGAATAACCATTATAATGAGGAAAAAGCGATGATGTTAAGCCATTATCTTGAAAATTATTCATTTGACCGAAAGTCTAAAACAAAAGAAAGATAAAAATATAAAAATAAAATCAATCGATTATTTTTGTTACTATTTACTTGGGGTTGAAAAGATTGCATGGGATTAAAAGATGGTAATTGATACGATGGAGAAGAGTACTGTTGTTGTTGTTGTTGTTGTTGCTAAATATAAGATAAAATTTAAATTGAAAAAAAATGAACAATAAAAAAATATATATATGATAAAAATTTACATCTTGATGTATTCTGACTTGTTGTTCGGAGTGATGTTGTTGTGTTATTGTTTGAGGTGATGAGTTTGATTTCAAAGCTTTTTTATTTGCTAATTTAAATTCATTCATTTCCTAATAATCAAAAAAAAAAGGAAAAACAATTACTCAATGACATAAACAATCAATCAATCTTAACTAACTTTTTCATATCTTTCTTTATCTCTTTGTGCTGCTTCTTCATAGATTAGTTTTCCATCCGGTCCTGTATGATTCCATCGATCACCTAATTCTTTAGCTATTTCACCAACAGATAAACTTGAATTTAATGCTTTTAATTTTGGTCGTTCTTCTTTACAATAATGAAAAAATGCTGATCTAAATAAAGAACAAAAATTAATAAATTATATTTAATTTATTGAAAATAATTTTTCTTTTTGTTTTTACAATGGTCGTTTTGGTGCAAGTGGATCTTTTTTCTTTTTTTTTGTACGTTTTTCACCAGGTTGATAGACAGCCATTTCACGTTCAAATCGTTGTTTATCAACTTCAGCTTGTGCAGCAAATTTTACTTTATCACTTTCTGTCATTGTCTAAAATGTAAATGACAGAATCAAACAATTGAATAAAGAACATAAACTATTCGAATAAAATTATTTGCTTAATCTGATATTATTTTTTGTCTGTCCTTCATCAAAAGAGTACAAAAATAGTCAATAATTTGAATTTATTCTGATAGATCAAATAAAAACATTAGTTTAGAAGATCAGGGATGTAACTAGAAAGTTTAAATATTCTTTTTTTCTTTATTCTTTTATCAACGAAAAATTATCGAAAAAAAAAATAATTAGAAAAAAAATTATATTGATGAATTTGCTTTTATAAGAATTGCTGACTAAATAGTTATATACGATAATTTAGAATTGTTTCTTACTTTCCATTTTTCAGCACATTTTTTTGAAAATTCACTAAAATTAGCATTTTCATTTGGACATGCTTTTCGATGTTCATCTCGACATTTTTGGACAAAAAATGTATATGCACTCATTCGACCTTTTGGTTTATGCATTTCTTTTGGTTGTTGATGTTGTTCACGATTTTGTGTTTGTGTTGATGGAATCATATGATGCATTTGTTGTGGTGGTACTTGTTGTTGTATCAATTGTGATTGATGTTGTTGTTGTTGATGATAGCTAAAATTAAAAGATTTTTCAATAATACATATAAATCTTTTCTTTTTCTACATACTACATTGGTATTTGTGGTGTTTGTTGTTGTTGTTGTTGTTGTTGTGGTACTGTCATTGATTGATAATATAATGTAGAAGTCATTTTTTAAAGATATAAATAACACTAATTTACATGGAGACTTAATTGATCTGTAATCGAAGAAGTTTTTTTTAATATTTATCACTAATATCATTCTTATTCTCAATGGTACTATATATATATGAAAAAAAGTTTTTCGAAGACTGAATAGATTTTTTTTTATCGTCTTCTTTTTCGTGTGTACATGTGGCAATGATGATGATGATGAGGCATACGCTACACATGTGTATTATAGAAGAAAAAAAATATACCAGACAACACGCGCAGACCTATATGTATGTATTAAAAAAAAAGCATAAATTTGATAGAAAAAGAAAAAAAACCGGCATCTTGAGTGATGGCATAGTAATGTATGTAAACGAAAGGTCTCCTTCATTCTTTTTTTTTCTGCCTGTCTTTTTCTAATCGCTCTTCTTTCTCTCTGCGTTAGCTTCGACTACATCAATGTATATAATTATTTCTTGTTTCGTTCGTAAAAGCAAGAGGAGAAGAGAGGGGGAAAAAGGGAGATTGTTCTGTTCCTAGCAATCGGAGAATATGCCCTCTTTTTCCTTCTTTTTTTTTCTTTTTTTTTGGCTCGTTTGAGAACAGAACAGAAAAAGAAAAAAAAAACTCAATTAATCGAGGGCATATATAAGTTTGAAAAGTTTGCCGGACATGTTCGCCAAGGGTCAAGTAAAGAGAAAGAGAGAAAGAAAGCGAGAAAGAACGAAGAATAAATAAATGTGAATGACCATGATGATTTATCGCCTATTGATTTCGGGTCAACTATGAAAATAGTTTTTTTTTTTAAATATTTCTTTTCGAATGAAAAAAGAAAAGAAATTTAACAACGAATGACAATAATAATGATAAACAATGACAATCGATTGTCAACTGTAATTCTTTTTTTGTATTTTCTTAGCATTCTAATAAAATGAATAAATGTCATTAATAACTAGAAAGGTTATGTGAAATGTAAACAATGGAAAAATCAGAAGCAGAGGCAAACGAGTATATATTGATATATCATATATATGTATTTTTTTTTTTTTTTGTTGGCCCAACTGATAATGACAGCTACTTGACAAATCATTATCGAGTCTTTCATCATACGTGTGTTCGCTCATTCAAAATCAATTAGTAAAAGACAATTTATATGCGAACCTCATACATTCAAGTGTTCGACACGAGCAATTATGCATCGACAAAAGAATGTCAAGTGATTCGATGAACAGATAGATAAAAAAAAAAGAACAAGACACAACACAATTCTCAATCTTGATAACAGAGAAAAATACACAAGTTTTTATTCGATCAATATTTACATAAATTGAAAATATTATTGTTCAAAAAATAATATGAAAAAATTTCGAAAATCAAAAGTAAAAAATTCATTATTTTCTTTTTATTCTCTATTATATCATTGATCAAATGGCATCACCAATCAAATACAAAACAGAATGCATAGTGATGATAGTAATCATAATTTTTATTCAATGATTTCATAAATTGATTAGTTCTAACTTTTTTTTTTCTGTTCTCTTTAAAAATCAAAATAAATAACATACATAAAAAATAAAAGGATTTTTTTTCTAGTTCAACAAAAAAAAAAAGTACTTGTTAGTAATAACAGCAATACATTCTATGAATTGAAAAACATTATTATAATTTTTCATACATTTTTTGTGTAATGATGAAAAATCAATTTCATGATTGTAGAAGAGAAAACGAATAGGTACAATCGATATATAAAAATTATTTATGTATGAATGATGACGTGGAGATTGTTAATGATTGTTATCAAGACAATATGATTCATGAGCTAATGTTAGTCATATGAATCGAGTAAAAACAAGCTTTATTTGTTTAATAAAATTACTCTTTATTTATTTATTTTTTGCTTACTTATAATTCATTTGCTGATCAGAAAGATAAATGTGGCAAGAAATGATTTATATCATCAGAAATTAATTTACCTGAACGCATAGATTATTTTATTAATGATAAGGGTATGGACGGCGCAAGGCTAAATTTTTAGATGATACAATAAGCTTTTGAATACATCTATTTTATCTGCCCTCCTCCAATAATGGACATTTCAGGTGTAAAAAAAATCTTTGTCATGTGAATTTAATTTCTCTCAAACGTATGCTATATGGAAACTTGAGTATCGTATCATCTGATAATGCATAACGAACTTCAAATTAGTGTAGCAATTTATAAGAGAAAAAGATTTATTTAAAATGATTTAAGAAAAATTGAAATATTTTTGCCATTACATTCTGTTCAATGACTATTGTGTTCTTTTTTTGATATTCATGTAAAGAATTGTCCGAAATTTGAAGAAATATTCTTTCCTTGAAAAAACTACACACATAATAATTAGCTGGGAAGATAGAGATGCTGTCCTTTATATTGTTGAACGGTTTATTATCGGATATTTTGATTTTAAATTTCAAAATCTAAATTAGAAATTATATTAAAAAGAAAACAAAAACAAACTATGAATGCCGAACGGCAAGCCCACTTTGATTGGTAATAAAAAAGTAAAGACAATTAATCATTGCGTTTCGTCCATTAAATGTTGCTTAATCGATCTTCAATTTGTTTGATCAAAGTCATTCAGAATCATATAGTCAGTCTTAGAGAGATGAAAGCCAATTTATGATCATATGATTCGTCCTAATTCAGCAATATACTTTGAAGATCGCTTATTGTGACAGGACAGATTTCAACATAATCAAAATGTCGGATATATACATTTCTATTGCTTTCAGAAATTCTTTTTAGGAAAAGCAATTGCTACTCCTTGTAATGCTAGTACATTGCCTATGGGTGAATATCTGTTTTCGATTTTTCTTCATTTCTAGTGCAAGAAATATAAGTCGTGTTTTAAGAGAAAAAAATGTAAATGAACGTGAGAAATTTATTTGATTGAGCCGTTTTATACTTCATCTGTTCAAACTTTAAACCATTGTCAACATTAACAGTCATGTTATCTGATTGCGCTTAAATATGATATCGATACTGCTATAGAAAAAAAACAGAGAACAAAACATTTCTTTTTCTCTTTCATGAAGTGATCGTTGATAGTTATTGAACATCCAACAGAGGTATTATGATGAATTATTTATTTTTGTTGAAATGATTTGATTTGTCATCATTTATTAGAAGTTACTTTGTTTTAATTTATTTAGGTAGAAAAACACTAGATATACAAGAAAAAAAAATAGTGACCCAGATATTGTGAATAAAATAATTGGGCGAAATATACAAGTACGTTTTAATTTATAATGATTGAAAATCTAACTGATTTCAAACTATACAATGATTCACACAATCAATTAACAAAAAAGTTCAAACAAAGCAGACGGTCAAAGAGAATCAAAAAGTACTAGAAGTGCTGATGTAGAAGATGAAAAACGCCGACGACAATAGAAACAAATGACGATCATGATCAAAACGTTAAAAAAGTGATTTATGATGAAGTAGGACAAATGTTTCATTTTCTATATGACTTATTCATTAAAGACGATTATACCGGGTTCATCGAGTATAGACTCCTATACCAGAGCATGTTCAATCATTGTTTGATGAAATATCTGTGATTTCGCAGATTAAACAAGGTAAATATTCAAAAGAAAATCTCTTTATAATGTGTTTCCTTTGATTTTCTTTTGTTTTAGATACAACCGATTGCACTTGGACACAAGTCTATGATAATGCGAACAAAGATGTGCGAGAAAAGAAGTCACACAACTACATCCACAACCATATATTTTCTCTTATTTTCTAAAACGATAAATCTAAAAGAGCTAAAACTTTTTGTGTAGCAGGTAAAATCAAATAGAAAAATATTCAAAAATCAAGCTACTTTGAAAATCCTCTCACTCTTTCGATTCTCCTAATAAAAAAAAATAGTTTTTGAAAACAAAAATGACGACCCGATTTGGTCTTAACTGTCAATGGAAAAACTTCAGTTAGATCGGATGAATTTTTGAATGGCGGTAAAGAGGATAATTAAGATCCTTTCTACTATTCATTTCAAAATCTTGAATAACTTTTAACGGGAAAGATGAAGAGAAAGAGAGCTGATGTTTTCATCGTTCAAGAAAGAATACCTGGGATCATCAAAGTAAGTTGAAATTTAATTGGTCAGCAATGGACTCATCAGATGAATTCGTAGCGAAGATTTTGAAGTCATTTTCTATTAGATTTTGACGTATTATATGGCTAATCGATAGAGAAAAGTTTTCTTTTTCGATCTATGTAAACAACCACTTTGTTCAGGATTTTTCCAATATGTATGAATGCATCGCATACTATGTTTTTCTCTACGAACTATAATATATCGTTCATTGATTTTTTCCTGTTCTCTTGTACGTGTATGTGTAAACCATGTATTGAAAGACGAAATTTTTTTTTTTTGAAATTTATTTAACGCTCCTAATTTAACGACAATAATATCAACATCAAGACCAGAGATTGATCATTTAAATGAACGTGTTAGGAATACAATAGTTCGCGCCTATTCTATTGTAACATCAGTACTTGATATATCAGGTTTTATTATCACTTTTTTTTACATAGTTGTAAGATTGTACTAAATTTGAAATCTTTAGTGGATATTATTGAACATGGTATGATTTCAAAGAAAATTTATTTATTTTTATTTAATTAATCGTTGTAGTTTGAGGTGTTGTCGAATGAACAATCAAGAGTATAAAATAATTACAGTTGTAACTATTGTTATGTTAGCAGAAACAACAGTACTATATGAGATTGAATCATTTGGCATTATCATTAAACTATTTTAGAATCAAATCAAACACTATCGTGGAAAAGTAAACGTTTATTTTTTATAAAAAGATAAGTTTATTCAACGTTTCATTTAGGAATGTGTAGATTAGTGGAAGGTACCTTCGATATGCCGAAAGTAATAACATCGGCATTATAATATAACTTGAAGAAAATTTTTGTTTACAAATACTGTAAGTGTCAATAGTGTTCTACACTTCTTTCATATTTCATCATTGTTTAATTATGTTTCAGACCAATTTGCACTTGTAATTCGTCAGTTGTAATATCAAAATTATCATTAATAAAATAATAAACTTGTTCATTATTCTCAGATGTTATCTCAGTTAAAGACCTTGAAAATTGTACTTCGCCTTCAATGCTATGGTGGTCATGACGAAATCTTTTCGATCATTTTTTAATTTTCATGCAAGATGAAATCTAGTCATTGTCGAAAACAGAACATTGTTCTTTATGAATCATTTTTGATTGAATAGGACGTGCAGTGCACGTTTTATTATCGAAACAAAATGTTTTTCTTATCTATTTAAAACAAATATGAATAACTTTCATCAAAATATTAGTATTATCATATCAATTGAAGAATGATAAAATATTAAAGAAATATAGATTAATATGTCTATTGTCAATATGTACAAAGAGAAATTTTCTTCGAGCTTTCTATACGATATAATAGTACTGGTGTCATTACTTTTGGATTAACCTAAGCATTACTAGAAGTACTTCTGATAGAAATATAAAACATATTTATATCTAAAATAAATGGAAATACTCACAATAAATCTATGTTAACAACAGCATCATTTCTTGATAATGTTTTCATAGTCAAAAATGAGAAAAAAATATTTTGTCAAGTATGAAATTTTGTTATAATTTCATTACAGTATTTAGAATTTGATCGAGGCAACTGTAACAAAATATTAGGAAATGTTTCAATTTATCTAATGAACAACCCATCATTTTCTAAGATTAATGAAATGGACACTTGTAATTTCGGTTGTATTCTTTTAATGGTTTAAAAAGATATTGTCAATGTTCTATTCATATCATTTATAAAACAATTCAATATTTATATGTTGCTCTCGAATATTCAAGAATATGTGGCGATGATGAACCTTCGTAAATTTCAATCACCAGATGATGAAATGAAAATTTCTTAGGATTGTTCAACATTTTATAACAACAGGATGGTACATAAACTTAAGATGTACAAAAAGATATCATACTATCATTTTTTAAATACTTTTGAAGTCAATGTATCTCATTAGATCATTGTAATTATCGACAATTAGTTTATACAACTATTGAAATGGCAAGTCAAGTTGTTTTCATCAGAAGTCATGAAACGTATTGTTGATGATTTAAACGATGAATATAAACACGATCGTCAAACGGTAATTGAAACAAGTGAAAAAATGATGACAAATGTAGATTTAGCTGATATTGATTCACATTTAGAAGAACAATTAAATTATGGTATATTTTATGCATTTCACAAATAAACAACTGAAGATTCAGTTACATCAAATAATATGTTTAATACATTAGGAAAATCTTGTAGAATATTATATTTAAAACAAATATATGAAGTTATTTTATGGTGTTTATATAGTTAAATATGTGAGTGTGGAGAAAACAAGTCACACGCCCACAGTCACACCCACTCTCTCTCTGCTGAATACGTTATCATCGCCAATATGACCGTGTTCGTGAAATCTATATCAGTAAATAAGACTTCAAAATTTATTTCAATTGCTAAAAGATACATATTATATAAGTATAATGAGATTGGGCCATTCTTAACAAGGTTATGACTAGAACAATATATAATTGTCTAAAATTGAAAAACATACATCCTCAATTTTGTTCAATATTTACATGTAGGCTTTTTCAATGACAAAAGACTAGCTGAGAATGAGATAAAAGCAAGGAATGAAAATTCGGACAACTATGCCTATTGCTAGGTCAGGTAGCAATCAGTGGTAGAATTGAAATTGACTGCTTTATTTGCGATACCATCTTTGTAACGTATTGGGACGTTTGATTTTTCGCTGTAGTTGAAGAACACCATAAAGTAAGGCTTCTGCACTTGGTGGACAACTTGGAACATAAATATTGGCTGGGATGATACGATTGCAACCACGGACCTCAATGAAAGCCCATGGATTATCGATTGAAATCGGTTAGTAATCACATACCACTGAATACGAATAGTAATAGTAGCCATCTCCGTTAGCACATGAACCCATTGAAATGATTCATTTTGGATGGGACATTTGCTCATAGAAACGTCAAATATCTATAATACGAAACATAAGTAACATTAATTATTTTGTCGTTACAAGCAATGTTTAGAAAAAGTGTTTAGAGTAATTACCTGGTGCTATTTTGTTAGTCAAAGTACTAGCAACAATCATGAGGTTGCATTGACAAGGACTAGCCTGAAAGACAACATCAATTCGATCCATATCATAACTAGAACAATCATCGACATAGAAATATTCAATATATAATTTTCATGATAAGTTTTCAAGTATAGTACTGAGGAGCAGCCATTTGCATCATTTCGACAGCACAACATGCGAGACCGAATGTCAGTGGCCAGGTAGAACCATGTCGGATCAAACTTTGTACGTCTTAGTCAATACAGGTTCTTCTTGAGCAGCCTGACTCCGAGGATCAATCGTGTGTTGAACGGTGGGCGAACTTGAAAGTTTTGTTACTGCTCTACAATTGAAGACGGCTGTTGGAAAGACAAGTCATGATAGAAGCAGAGAATAATGTAATAATGGCATTGAGCAAATGATCTATTTACAGAAAAAATAATCAAGAGATAATATTACATAGTCACATTTCCTAATGGCAACAGTTGTTTTTTCTTTGACTTTTACATAGTATTCTCAGTCGTCTATCGACGAATTGTTGATATTATTAAACATTTACAGTCAGAAAAATGTTTCACATCAAACAACGGCAAAATTAGCTGCTTATATTGAAAAATGAGTGAGTATTCAACAAAATACGACAAACTATATTGATTGATGATACTAGAGATGCACATTCCAAATGCAATAATCAGTGGAACTGATGAGCCTAATAGAAACATTGAAGCACAGAACAAGTAAGAAAAGTATCGTTTGAATAATATGTAGTCAAACACGGCACTCTTAAAAGATAGAACCTAGTTTTCATCTACAATTTTGTGCATCGTATCAAGATCTGTTAGACTCAAGATGCTGAATCATATTTTGTGAGTTTTTGCCGTAATATACCAACTGCAATAGAAACGTTCATGAGAAGTGAATATCACTATTGACTCTCATGACAAAATGCTAATAGTGATCGGCATCAACACTGTTTTATCTTTTTCAATTTTTATTTTTCAAGCAAACCTCTAACATCCATCGATGACGATAATGAACTCGATGATTTCTACAACATGGTGGTGGTAGAATGTTATAATTTTTCTCTATCTTTTGTAGACTGTATTGTGTTGAAGAATTATATATGGCTATTAATGTGGATTTACTGACAATACAGAAGAATGAATATTGACCTATGATTCAATACAAAAATATCAATATGCAGATGTCAGAATGAAATCGATTGAAGAAGACGATAACTGATTAAAGTCGATTATAATCAATTATTTTACAAGAATCACAGCAATCAATTAAAAATCTAATTGATTTTAATCGATTATTTCAAAAATCAATCGAAATCAATTTCTTTAGCGGAATCATAGTATTGATTAAAAATCTAATCGATTGTAAGTAGTTATTTCTAAAATCAATGAAAATCGATTAGATTTTTAATCAATCGATTAGATTTTTAATCAATTACTATGATTCCTGTGATAGAAATCAATTTTAATCGATTTCAAAAATAATCAATTAAAATCTATTAGATTCTTAATCGATTAAATCGATTAGACTTATAATAGATTATTTCGATTTCTCTAAAAAAAATCAACTTTTAATCGATTTCTCCTGAGTAAAATCAATTGATATCAAATCTTACATCGTATTTAATCGAAATTTGGTAATTTTAATCGATATTTTGCGCTTATTTTCCAAAAAATCAATATGAATCAGATTTTTAGCACCTTTTTTTTACATGGGATAAATAGGTAACAGCAAGTTTGAGTAGATGATTCATGTTTGCACGTAATATGCAAAGAGAAAGGTATAACGAAGCCATTGTATACTTACTTTTATACACCAATTGAAAAGGTATCTGCATAATATTTTTCTATCCGATGCACAAAGTATTTTCGAATCTATCAATGTTAGTGGATATCATGCATTGATGAAAAAAGTACGATACTTTATAAATGACATCAACAAGGAGGAACGATAATTTATATAGCCAGTTAGTGATCAGTTACCTTTTGCAAAAAAAAAAATCATATAAAACTTGGCTTACGTACATTTTTTGTATTGACATATTTTTATTAAAAAATAGTACGCTGTATGTCTTAAAGAAAAGAGGAGTTCAATCTGCTATTCTCAACTTTTGCTTTTCAACAAGCGAATAAGTCGAAAATTGAATAACAATAGAATAAATAGTGTGCTTTGATTAGAAGAATCAAAGAAATGCAAAGTTATTTTTGCTGACATATTTCGTATTATTTACAAGAGTGTAAATACTCATCAGGACCCCATATTACAGTTGAAGAGACAAAATGAAAAGACGACAAAAGGAAATTATACAAATTTCAAAGAAGCACAAAATTGAATTGGAATAGATTTCAAAGAGAGAAAAATCGAAGGAATGAAAGTAAATACATGACCAAAATTGTGTGATTTGTATTTTGCGCTCTCAATTATCATGCACAACGATGATGATTGTTTACATTTTTGTAAATAATACGAAATATGTCAGCAAAAATAACTTTGCATTTCTTTGATTCTTCTAATCAAAGCACACTATTTATTCTATTGTTATTCAATTTTCGACTTATTCGCTTGTTGAAAAGCAAAAGTTGAGAATAGCAGATTGAACTCCTCTTTTCTTTAAGACATACAGCGTACTATTTTTTAATAAAAATATGTCAATACAAAAAATGTACGTAAGCCAAGTTTCATATGATTTTTTTTTTGCAAAAGGTAACTGATCACTAATCGACTATGTAAATTATCGTTCCTCATGGGTTGACGTCATGTATAAAATATTGCACTTTTTTCATCAATGCATGATATCTTCTAACATTGATAGATACGAAAGTATTTTTTGCGTAGGATAGAAAAATATTATGCAGGTACCTTCTTAAGAGGTATATAAAAGCAAGTATACAATGGCTTAGTTATACCTTTCTTTTTGCATATTACGTGCAAACATGAATCGTCTACTCAATCTTGCTATTATCTATTTATATGTGACTGAAATATTGTGTGAGATAAACAATGATGACAAAACTGGAACATGTCGTTGTTACGGTGAACAACATGTCAATCCATTTCCAGCATCACCTGGAAGTAGTCAAAATCAATATTTGTGTAATGATAACTCCACTAAAATACTCATTAAAAACCAGTTTGTGCAACTGTTTGTAACTCCTAATTCACAGGACAGCTATTCCACCGTTGCAGTATATGACTTCAATTTAATGAATTCCGATATTCTATTTTTCTTTATTTTATAGTATACTTTGATATTTCTTCCTACTGCCGAGTACCCAAATCCTTGTGTCATCAGTGACAGCATTGCAATACCATCTAATTCATCTTGGGCTTGTCCAAATTTTACTGCGGCTAATACAATAGGAAGTAGTACAATTCAACATCATTTTCATCTGACTGAGAATATTCTAGTCACTATTAATAATCTGGTTCGAAAATTAATTTTCTACCAAATTTAAACGTATTCTACTTTTCAAATGTTTAGGGATCTCATTTCGATATGATGATTACTCAATCGTTTAATCTAATTTCTCAATCGGAAGGTGCTTGTGTTAATTTGCCCTGTGGCTTAGAAGTCACCGGTGCAACTCTTCGTAAAAAGAGACAGCCAACAGCATCAGACTCTACCATTTCTCAAGTATGTGATGGATTCATTAATCCTGCACAAAAGAAATGTTTGGGTCAAGTTGATAAAGGTTTTGTACAATGTTTACGTGTTGGATGTGTGCACGACACTGGTGAAGCACTTGATCAGAGAGTAATTACATAATAAATTTCATGTAATAATTTCATATTATTTAATTATATTCTTTATTATATTTATTTAGTATGCTCACGGAGCTGCGACGTTGTTGCTTCAAAGTAGCGTCGAGCAATATAAGACTGATAAGAACTTTAAAGGCTATTTGCTCAAAGCAGACGCACAAGCTGCAGAAATAATCAAACAAGCACAGAAAGGAGTGAACCAAATGATTCAAAATTCAGAGCCGGTGTGCAAAGAGAATGGAAAAGAACTTAATTGTCTTCAACCGTTGTAAAGCACAAATTGATATTATAGTAGACGTCGAAAATAGAAGAGACAAAAACTATTTACTTCATTCCTTTCCATAATCTGTCGATAATTTATGTTGTTTTTCCATAGTGAACTAACACAAATATTCGAATCAGTTCTTCTCTGACACAAAAAGATATGCTTAATAATAAACTCAATAAGCATAAAAATATGTGGATTATATAATAAATCAACTAAAATTCGTATTTCTCATCAATTTCATTCGCGGTATGAAGCATAAACTCAATATTTGTTCATGAATTTTTTAATTCAATGGAGGTCTTATTGTTTTTCTCTTTTAAATTTTTGAGTCATATTAGATGAATGGATGATAACAATAAAAAAGAAGTGATTGTTTTGCCTCATAGCTATTAGATTGTATTCAAATTGAGTATGAAATTAAAATGCATCAAATACAGAAAGCATTACTAATTATATACAAAGTGACTTTAAAGATTTATATCAGGAAGCAATGTTTGAAACTTATTCGGACATTTTCTGTCTTCTAGTAAAACCAGTGTAGTTTATTGAATAGAAGATTCAAAGCTGCCAACAAGCAAATTTTTTTCTGGCCTAACCTAGTTGACATGTTATACCATACCGATTAATGTTTCTGATTTGTTGAATCTATCAAATCCTACAGTTTAGAAGTTAAATTTCTTTAAAAGGTAGATGTTCTTTTCTTGAGGACAACTAAAAACCTGATAATATATAAAAAAATTCACCAACTGATGATTCATTGTTATAAATATACAATAAGTATATATGTTCTCTAATTCCATAATTTGACATGATAGTGAGATATACATATGTATGTTTATATATCCATGAGTTTTTATTTGATTTAAGCCTCGCGCCTCTTCACAATAGTGTTTGCATTTACAGTAGTTCATTTGGGTAGAAATCTTCAGGCATTAGTTGTCCTAGTGAGCAACGCTTCTAACAAAAGCTTCAACCCGATATGTCAAACAACAGTGAACTTATGACTGATTTATAGTCCATTTATGGCCTTGAGATGAATCATTATAACTTCGTCACTACAACTGGTACAGAGTCTGAAGTGGTATCAAATTAAAGTCAATATTCTTGCGCAGGTTTTGTCCAAACAAGATTTTGAAAACCGCTTCCATTCATCTTGTGAAACACAATCTGAAAGGAGTGTTGAAGTATATAGAGTAGAAATTTGCACCTATTCCCTTCCTCCTCACAGACTGTGACAGACACTCATGTAACCCATCACAGACCGTAACAGACACTCATGTAACCCATCACAGACTGTGACAGACACTCATGTAACCCACCACAGACTGTGACAGACACTCAGGTAACCCATCACAGACTGTGACAGACACTCATGTAACCCATCACAGACTGTGACAGACACTCATGTAACCCATCACAGACCGTAACAGACATCTTAATTAATTAATTGATTAGTATTTAATTAACTAGTTAAACATCGCAGATCGTGACAGACAGGTCCCAAATCCATCACAAACCGTGACAGACACCCTTCATAGATCGTCATAGTGGTTGATAGCCGCCTTCAAGAGAGTATCAAATTTTATGTATAACTAACATCTAATTAGAGTATTTATGGAAGATTTCCTTTATGAAATTCTACTCTCTAAATTTAGCAATGCTGATGGAATATGCCTAGTATACGTAAAAAAAGAGCAGTTTTTAGGGAATTAGTAACAATATGTATATCGTGTTTCATATTTCAATCCCACAGAGATTGCGCTAGCAGATTTTTTATGATGATTTCAGTACATACAATGTTCAAATAAGAAAAATATGTCACTTCACAACAGTAAATCTCGCTTTTCTCAGCATAGATATCAACCAGAGACCGTCATCAGGTCAGGGCTGCCCTGCTGCCCTGATGCCCTGTACTGCCCTGCCCTGTACTTCAGGGCAAACTTCTTTTTTTGTCCTGTCCTGTTTGCCCTGCAGGGCGACCGAAGAAAAGTACAGGGCAGGACAGGGCAAATTTTTTTTGCCCTGTTAATTTTTCACATAAGTTTATTTGGAAGCCTTTTTCGAAGCTAAATGGAATCTTTCAAAACATCTATTATCGATGGAATTCCATCAACATCCATCAACCAGTGATGAACCTGTCTTTTCAGTTGGTTTCATCAGAACTAATGAATTTGATACTCATTCTAATTTATCATTGTACAATACAGTTCTCCCCACTTCAGAAAAGTTTAACCACGGTTATCACATCAAAAGTATTTAGAACACATAGAAAATAAATCGCAACCTCTTGGTAAGTAGCGATGAAAATCTGCAAATCGATAAAATGATAGCGTTCAGTCAATCACAATCCCTATGTTCATTGATAAATATCTGATTTTTCTGCAGTCATCCTGCTTATTCTTTGGATCCGTACAAGAGAAGTGAAGATACTGGATTAAAGCCAGTTATTTTGTTTTACAAAGAATAAACTCAAATGACATCATTTTCCCTCGATTATCGTGTAACTTTTGATCAATTATTTCGTTTTCTTTCTCTGATAAGATTTCAAAATTTTTTCTCATTAATGAAAAATATTTATCAATTTTTATTTTTTTAAATTAGTTATTCAATCTTAATCGACTAGAGAAATTTGAAAATAATCTTGACAATTTAAAAAGACAAACATAGCATCTCAGCAGGATTATAATTATATAAAAACAGTATCATTTTCATAGAATTTAAACGAACTTTTGATTGTTTCTACGCATGGATAATATTCTGTTGAAATGACTTAAACAAGGCATATATAATGAACACAAAACCCATTAGATTTATTCATCATGTCATAAATTCATCCTATAGTTGAGATTCAATTTAAAGGCCCTCAGGGCGCCCTGTCCTGTACTGCCCTGCCCTGAGGGCAGGGCAGGGCAAAAAATATTTTATGTTTTATCGTCCAGGGCAGGGCAGGGCAAGGCATAACAGGGCAAAGGGCAGGACAGGGCACAAAAAAAGTGCCCTGTGACGGTCTCTGATATCAACTATAAAAAAATCGGGTCAAACAAAAGTTTACTCTCATTTAGACCTTTAAAACAAAATAAAAATATTGTTTATATCTTGAACTGGATGAGAATTATTTCAATTTTTCTGATTGAAAACTATGTTCTAAGAAAAAACTATGGAGTGGCATTTCACCAAGATTAATCATAACAGCACTATCATCCATTGTATCGCATTGTTTGATGCTTGTTTTGAAGACGCGCAGATATATTATCTTTTCGTCACGAAGTCGTGAGTAAGATAAGAATACAAGAGAAACTTACTTACTATTGTGTTGCTTGTAGATAATTGTGTTTTGTGAATGAGGATAATGACAAAGTGGCTGCTTTATATAGGTTTTAGTCCAATAGATATATTAATAATTGAAATGCAATAGAATCTCTGGAGGAGGCATCTGCTTTTTTTTGGAGAAGAAAATTCCAATGTAAGTATTTCGTAGGTCTAACGACCATGGAACATTATATTTTCGGATGCGACAATTCTCATGTCAGCATCGCCTTCCGCGTAATATCATACTTCGAAGCAAAATCGGACTAAATGCAACTGCAAAAAAACATCCCATGCATTACTGAAGAAAATTCCATTGTATTTGAAATTTAATGTGCGCGATAACTTACTTGGCCTAACTATGTACTTGAATGGATTGTATATGTGGATGCTAGAGAGGAAACGAGAGAGAGAGAGAGGGAGGACAACAAGAGAAATATTTTGAGATTTGTATTGCATTGTGTTCTCACATTCATTTTAGTTTCTTATTCTTATTGAAGATATGAAGATATATGGAATATGGTACTCAACCATGATTTCGTCTTGCACAATACAACATTGTGTTGCATAGTGAAACTCTGTAAGTCTCAAATCTATTAATGATAGTTAACAGATAATGTTCAGTTTAGATAAGATCAATAACGTCAATGAAATGTCCAGTTAAATCAGTTTCGAATGAGTTCCAATAATGATATATCATCAGGTAAAACGACAAGTATATCGTATTATGTGTTTTTGATAATTGTCTGTTCAATTGAGTTTGAAACAAAAACAGGATTTATAATTAGAATAATAATGATTGATGATTTCAATCTATATTAGACAATGTAATGTTGAAAACGATTGCGACTATCAACCTTGAGGGTGAGTAAAAAGTATTTTAAATGAGAACAATGTCAAAACAAGTAGAAGAATAGAAAGACTAACTTTTTAAATATCATTTATATTCTTTCTGTGCTATTTATCTAGCTATAAACAATTAATTTCTATCATTCAAATAACAAAGAAATAGACATATCTTGGTAATGAAAAAAAGAAACTGAATATATTTCTTCCATCGATAGTTTTTGTTGTAAAGTTATCAGTCAAACATATTCATATTGAAATTGTATCAGCAGCAGAAATCAATGAAGGCACAATCGTATGATAGTGACCAACAAGACAAGATTAATATATATACGAGATCTAAATTAAAATAGAATAACATTAATTCAATATTCAATTGAGAATATTTCATTTTGATTGTGTTACATTGATTTGTTTTTAATTGATTTATTACAGAGTCTGAAATCGATTTGAAGCTTTGAGAAAGTAGATTGTATTGACACTCTAAATAGAGATTTTTCTGTTTACTTTGATCTCTGATCCATAACTGATCATGTAGATATTGATATGAAGGAGAGAATAAGTTGAGCCATCGTCTGCTCGCCAATATTTGCTAGTCAACAAAAACGAAATCTATAAAAGAGAAGCAGATGATTGCATATTAGATAATCTGTTGCATTTAATATACGCGTGGATTTCTCAAAAAAAATTAAAACTCACTGATTATATATCTACAACAGAATAAACATTCAAGATTAGTACAAACTTTGTCCATTGTAATTCCAAGTGGTAAAAATGGATTTATATGATTTCTCAAGAAAAAGAGAAAAGAAAGTATATGATGATCAAATCTGACATATAATAAATAACAAAAGAAACCATTGATGCACAGTTAAAATCTACATAATTACCAGAAGTAATTTATACATCATGAACTTATGTAACAAGTATAGATGAAAATTAAAACTAATGAAATTCAATTTATGTTTTAAGGAACATCAAATATCTAACGAAAAACTGAAAAAATGATGATGTTTAATAGACATACAATTTTATTTTGAAAAGTATTCTTCAAAATCATCAATGGTATATTCAAGTATACAATATAAATACTAATCTAAATAATCTTTAGTAAGTTATTCACAGTTTTTAGTCTCATTTTTTATTTTGAATTTGACAAATATATGCTATTGGTAATATATAATCAATATGTTTGGCGAAGGTTTGTTTGTTGACTACTGCTTCTAAATGAAAATATTTTCATATTGACATAGTTGGCAGTGGTGGTGATAGAAATCGTCTACTTTTTGCTTTATTTTTTCTAATACAGATATATCTTCAGTAGTAGTAGTTGCTCTTATTGATTTTGTTTTTGCTAATAGTATGATATTTGTAAGAATGGAATGAGTGTCTTCGAAGGAAAGCGTACATTGACTACAATACATCCATACTCCCACATCCCACATTTACACCTGTATCCCTTTAATTTATTAAACATAGTGTAGACATCGGTTCTTATAGATTTTTTTCAGCATGAAGTTATTCCAATGTGCATGGCCTAAGAACACAAGATTTTTGCCTCGATTACAACCATGTGTAATCAAGATAAAAGTAACATTCGAGCTGTATCGAAAAATATTTTCTTTTTTTTCGAGCTTTTCAAAAGTCGCCGACACCGAATTATGAAAATATTCGCTGAAAAGTATCATCTATGCTTCTTCGTTCGATGCATTATCATACAGACGATTACCTGAAGATCAGTAAATATCGTCACATTGGATGGACTATATTTATTTTAAATAGAAATGTTTCTAAATAATATTTGTTTCTCTGTGAAACAATCTCAACTGATAAAGGGAGATAAATAGATAAGGACTGATATTGTTGTGTACTATTTCATTTACAGAAGCTCATGTAACCATTTTCTCCACGCGTGTTGAAGGAAAATGGGCTTACGCGTATCACTTATTCTTGGAGAAAGCTCTTGGGCAGTATGTTTTCGTTCAAGAATTCAGAAAATCGGACATTGAACGATTATCGTTATAGCTCGACTAGATAGTTAGATCGGAAAATTTTGACAACTTCATTTTCATCTTTTATATCACTAACGCTTTCGATAGTTGGTACAATCCAAGATCTAAAATGTCTCAGATTACAAAATGCTCAATTGAATAAAGTTGTCTTCCTCAAGAAACATAATAAAATGCTTCAGTGTACGCGTCATTGTACGCATACTATAACAACATTTTTCTCGACATTTGATTTTGAGTACAATTTAATAAAGCTTCCATTGCATGTTCATCTATTTCAGTTCCTTTTGTAGATTGACTTGGATCGTAATAGGCAATATTGTTACGCTTTCGAAATTAAATACAAAACTTCGATCTTGTTTTATCTCTGGATTTTAGCATCTCGTTGAAATCTTGTTCTTATCAATATTTTATGTTCTTGTGAGAATTTAAGTGACAAACCTGGTAAGAGAAAAGCCTTTTTTTTTACATGTGTCAACATATGTGCTTAAAATGTGTGTGTGTTTTCTACTGTAATATCCGTAGTCGAATATGTTTAAAGTATACATTTTTATCTATACGAATGTTCATTTAAAATTATATTTTGTTTTGTATAGGAAAACATTGATGATCATGACACTCGAATTAATTCCTCAGACAAGTCTCATTTTTAAGGGTATGTAACAGATACTTATTCTTGATGATAAGATGCAATTCATGAATATATTTCGCTGATTTCGTAATAGGTTCACACAATCGAGAATCAAGAACGAATCTCAAATTGACTAATACAAGTAATGAACGCATCACATTCAAGATCAAAACAACAGCCCCTAAAGTTTATTCTGCATATCCAAAAAGAGGTTTCATGGCTCCACTTGCGACTATCAGTATAGAAAGTACGATCAGAAATTTGATTTGATACATGGTTTGTAGCAGAATGTTGATGGTTTCTCTTAAGTAAGACGAAAGGCACTATCAGCTGACGAAGAATTGAATGATGCAAAACATCATAATTTTATGGTTCAATGGACAGTCGTTTCGAAAGATTACACGGACACATGTGAAAATTTCGTAAGCATATCTTTTATCAATAAACATTAGTATTATATACATTTTGATAGTGGCAGCAAGACTCAATTAAACTCAAAGATGTAAACGACTCAAAACTGCAATGTGTTTATGTTGATGAGCAATCAACAATTGTTACATGCAAGGATCCTGTTGAAGAACGAAATATGAGAGAGGTATATCGATTGAGATGATTCATTTCTTTCTTGGAAAAAAGAAACACTCTTAAATCTGTTTTGATACTTAATAAACACTTATAAATTTGTACTATAATAGGTTCTTTCTATTATTTCATTTACAACTGCGTTCATTGTTTACTTGGTCATTTAGAGTGAATTCGATTTGTTGAAAAATCATAGTAAACAGCTATCAAACACTTTAAGTGAATCAGAAACGCCAACGGTACAACAATCATCAGTAACATTCAATTCGGATCGATCAGTTATAAATGTTGTGAAAACGATAGAAGCAATAGGTAAAGTCAATGACGAGATTATTCAAAAAATCAACAAAATGACGGATGACATAAATCTCGTTATTTATGTGATTATGCATCAGAACGATGGAAGTTATACAATAAACGAGGAAATAAAAACTAGGCAAGCACAAACTGTCGTTTCAGAATGGCAGAATAACATCAATTTGATTCATATTCAAGATGTATTCAATTATAAACTGAATTATAATTGTAATAATTATCAAGATCTAATGCGTTTGAATAGAGAGATGTTACTAGTCGTTGAAAGATACAAATTAATTGGTGATGGACACCAAGTGTTAGAAATTGTCACTCAATTTAAGGAAAATTTTCGTCGTATTCAAGTAGCTCTTCAGAAACTTCTTCAACTTTTGCGAACTGGCGGTCAAAGTCATTTGAGTGATATCAAACAACGATTGGATAATATCAACAATGAAATCCAAATACTCCGAAATAAGTACAACAATTTGAGCTTCGTATAATTTAATGCTATATTTCTTCCACAACAATAAACATGGGTATTTTCTATAAAGTTATTTAAATCTATATTAGAACTTTGTTCACTTCTTCTAAGAATTCTTGTTCCATACTTTTTTTCCTATGAATAATACTATATTGTTCTCGTATCGCATCTAATCCATGAGCAACTCATTGACTGTTCACACAAGAAAGCAGAGATTTTTAATCAATCAAACGTCTATATACATAATGTCGAGTGTGTGTATGAGTCTGTTACTAGGCCAAAGGTCAATGGTAGGATCTTAGGCATAAAAAATCAGCGTTGAGTTTCGAAAGAAGCTTCTAAGAACTTTCTAGAAACGTGTAGAATTTTCTGGGTGAGGGCGTAAATGTGAGTGGATGTGTGGTTGTTGATGAAGAGGATATCCACATCCAATTTCTCCCACACTAAGTCTTCAATCTTTTTTTCAAATTAAATAACAATTGGAATTGCTGCTTGTAAACATTCAATACCATCATCTAGTTTACTCGTTGTCCTCGTCGATTGATATTATTATTGATGAAGTAAATATTCGATTTCTCATGAATGATTAATTTTGAAATCGGCGACGAAAGTCTTTGAGTTAGTTCAAGTTCAACATCGGACATATGAAAAAAAGTTGAAATACAACAATGATTATTTCTCTAATAGAAAGTTAGTAATATTAAAGTAAACAATTTTGTCTGACCTAAAGAAAATTTGAGAGAGGTAAACTTGTCCGGTCCAACCTGACCTACATGATTTCAATTCGAATCTTTGGTGACTCAATTTAAAATCAGCAATATTAGCATCAATATCAATGACGGAATTGGTTTCATAGAATATGAAATTCAAATCGATTCGAGTTGTGCGAATTGTTCGCTCAGAATGGTTGTTCGATCATTGAATAAGCTCATCGATAAACCAATGTTGAACATGGTCAAGTTTATCAGTGATTGTTACCATTCGTTTTTGGACATGTTTTCTCTAGGACTTCTTTACATCATCGAAGAGTTGGTGGTAATAATCTTTGTGAATCATGATTTGAAAACTCTCGGGTGGAATTTTTTCTATGAGATTTTACAACTCACTTAATTTAAACGAAGCTGGACTTGTAAACTTTATCAATCTTAAAATTTCACCTATTCTACGACACGAGTCAGTAACTTACCACCACGCATTGTATAGTCCAAAACAAAATAGTTGCCAGACGACAGAGATTCTTCCATAGTAGAATTTCTAGGCACTTCAATGATTCCATTCGATCTCTTCCTGCAATGCACGAGTCTTCTTTCGCTTGTTCGAAAATACATCTAGCATAGTGAAGTACAGCTTCCAATAATTCGTTGTTAATCATGGATTGACATTGTTTTTCGATGGTTTTGAGCAGTTTAATAAATTCAGATTTTTCTACATGCGACATGAGTGAATGAACCCTTTCATTGCATATTCTGTCAAATTTAGAAAAAGTTATACTTTTCACTGCCTTTCAGTCGCATAATTTTGATTGCCTTCTCATAACAAATCAATTGTTCCGTATTCCGATGTGAAGTTTCCAGAGATTGTAATACAAGGCCAACCTTTTTGTTAGTCGCTTTCGTTTCATCATGCATATAAAATGTAAAAAAGAACTAACTATTGTTGCTGTGTCGTATGTAATTGATTTTGGCAGGTATCCGAACCCACGATGAATGCGATAGTAGGACGAGAAATTGAGAGAAAAATTTGAATGTCATTGAGACAAGAAATTGAAATGGCTTCATCTGGTTTGACGCTACATTTTTGCACTTAAATTGTTGTGTTAGCCATATTTTAAAATGGAATAACCAGAAGAGTATAACATATTCTATCGTCGGATGAAATGACAATGATTTTTTTATACAAATCGAGCATATAACAAACATAATCGATGGCAAGCACCATTGACGATATCGGAGAAACATTAAAAATTGAGTCCGAACGACAATATATAAATGCAATTCGACTATCATTTGTGAACAGAAACAAACTTTCTGTTGCTTTCAAAATAGTAAACAATTGTTCAGTCCATGCTTTCGAAAGATTAATAAATTGAGTACATCCATTTGCCATACATGTCGGATCAACAATAAAACTTACGGAAATCATTTTACTAGTAATTGAAGAACGTTGATCACGGAATCTCAAAAACGTGTCTGTATCATCCTCGTTCGTTTCCAATTTGTGTTTAGTCGAAATATCTTCAAAAGTGTCGAATACTTTAGAAAAGTGCAATCCGGTATTCATTTCACTCTTTTGGTATAAAGATAGCAGAGATAAAGAGTAGTGAACGCAGCTTTAGAAAATAGTACGCTTAGACATTATTTAATTCATTATCTATTCAGATTGTTGACAAGCTATTCTTCCAATCTATAGAGAGATACAGGTAAGTAAATTATGAATTCGTTTTCTCGTATAAAACATTTATTCCTATTCTCAGGTGGCTTTCAATTAACACTGAAAAAAAAGGCTTCGAGAATTGCAACAAATTCGAAAACTATTTATGCTTCGTACATAAGTATGAGAGTATGGATATGGATGTGTGTGTCTAATTACTTCAACCACTCATCCTCATCCTTCGATGTTCAACACATTCAATCTCGGATCCAAAATTCGTCTAGGCGAATCTGACATTGCATATAATCTCAGCTTGGGCGCAAACATATGTATATATACATAGATTGTGTCTACCTCTATCGAATCAAGAAAAGTTTAATCAATCAATGCCCATATTGTTGTCTTTCTGGAAAAATTAATATAGGAATTAGATGCTATTGCAGTTAAGTCATATTTTTGCACTCACTCTCACTTTCATACTGATTGTTGTATTAAATTTACCAATCAGTGTAAAGATATGACTCAACTGCATGCAAGCAGAAAGATTGAAAACTGATACATTGACAAAAAAGAACTTATTTTTCATTGATTAACTTCACGAGAATATTTTTTTATGGTTGAAATTTAATATTTTAGAAAGACAGGCGTATTTCTATATTTTTTTTTATTATTCTAGAGTAAAACATGCTATTGATTAAAAATAATAATATTTCAATATATCGATTTCATCATTGATAAAATTAAACTCGAAACTAAACAAACTTATTGATTCTAAATAATATGAAAAAGCTTTAGATGCTTTCGATTAACAATTTGAAATATGTACAAATATTACTAATGATGTGGGAATAAAAGTATGCACTATGTTACATGATTATAAACGTGATATTACTATTCAACAAAAACTTATCATATTCATTTAATAATCTTTTTATTCAAACATCATTAATTCACTTTTCTAGTGAGTGATTCATTTTATCAATCAGAATATAATTATATCATCATAAAAATAAATCGATACTCCTATGAATGAGGGCGTTTATATTTTTCAAAATAAATTCTTTTCTATTTTTAACTTTTCTGCATCAAATAATATTTGCATATTTATAGATTTCTTCTATAGAAATAAAAGATCTTCAAAATTTTAAATCAATATAATAAACTGATTGTTTTTTCTCGCGCATATAAGAATATTCTTTCATGTTTTTTAATAAACATATTAAGATTGATTCATTAAAAATATCTCAATAGTTATTACAGGTCCTGAACTAAATTTTTCAAACTGATGTTATTTTATGAGACAAACAATTATTGAAATGAGTGAATGAAACATTTTATAATAAATTTATGTTAAACATTCAACATTAAAAAAAACCATTATTCCTTTGGAAGTAAAAATGTTAAAGTATACTAATCTAATTTTAAATCAAGATTAGTATCGTATCTAACTCCGATCATCATCAATCAAGTATTATCAACTACTGTTATGTCCACCAAAACACTCTTTCTTCGATATGAAAAATCCACAGTGAAAATTTCGATAAACAATTGATAGATATTGCTTTCTTTACAAGTGGTGTGAAATTATTAGTTAGTTGCAGACGTAATAGTTACTTATATTAGCTAATGCTATTGCGCGAAGGTTGCTCAACGAATTAGACGCTTATCACAGTGATCAATATTCTAGTTCAATAGAGTAGATCAAAATTCCAAACCGAAAAGTTTTGGTGTTGATACATGCTAACATATGGTTGTTGAAAATGAGAAATGATATAATCATTATAAATGATATGAATTTGACTCTGTATCATAAAATTCTTTTCTCTTCTGTCTGTAACTTGCACATTTCATTTTATCTATAATAAAATAGACATATTTTACTTATGAGCATTAAAAAAAAATATTAGTCTGATGTAAGTAAATTACCAAAGAAGCATTGAACAGAAAGAAAATGATCTTTGATCTAAGATCGGTAGCATTTGAAATATTTATAGATTTAAAATTGAGTATTATGTACATATACACATTATTGTAGATAATGAGTGAAGCAGCAGCAGTTGAATTATTAAAACGAGCAATACAACTTGATGGCGAAGAAAAATATCCAGATGCATTAACTTGTTATTCCGAAGGTGTTCGTATGTTGCTGAATGCTGTTAAAGGTAAAAGATATAAATATTAGTCTTTTTTAAAAAGTTTCATTATTCGTCTCTTTTGTGAAGAGTTATATTGAACTTTTGTTATGAATACATGAATAAAAAGATAGTTATTGACTTTAATTGAGTTAAGAAATTAAAATAAAATTAAAATATAGAAATGTTTAGTTTTCTTTTTGTCCAGAGATCTATAAAGAAACTCAATAATTATAATTTGATCATTGTCTTGTCTTGTTACAAATAGTTCTTGATTACAGGTGATTCATAAGCGAGAATTAGTTGCAGTACTTAGTTCCAATCATGGATGGAGGAATGTGTAGGCTAGTGAGACTTGAGCCACATCACAATTACAGCTTCAAGAGTGTGAGTGTGAGTATGGAATTCTTCTTCACTTACATCCACACTCTTGTAATAAAGTTGTATTTACGATAGTAAAACACTAAAAGGCAGTGTCTTAAGCAACAATTTTTAAAAAAATGAGAAAAAAATTCTGAAAAAAAACTGTAGATATTTTTTTCACCTCCAATTGTAACATAAAGAACTATTATTCGTTTTCTATGAGTCAGTGAAAATAGTATGAAAATAGACCGATATGCAGTTTTCTTTTTGGGCTATCCAAGCATACTAGAGAGAGTAAAAATAAATGAGTATTACAAAATTATATAAAAAAATGATAAGAGTAAAGTTTTTTGATTTTAATTTGTGACTTTTTATATCCATATAGAAAAATGCAAATGAAAATCTGCATACAGATTTTTTTAAATACTTTATGCCATCATAAAAATATCTTCCACTAAGCTTTTATTTTAATAAAATTGTGAAAAAGTAGAATATTTTCAGTAAACAAGCAATTTCAAAAATATTTGAATACTAATAAGAACTAAATTATAATTTCATTTTTTTTTAAAAATCTAGGATAAGAAAAATATATGAGAATATGTTCATATCCTCATCAAGCTAGAAATCTTGAAATAAAACAATTTTTCCTTTACTTTTGGATATATGCTAACAACAATCACACAAATGCTTTACTTAAAATAACTTATATTGCTCATATAAAAATTGATATATTATGGTGAATTTCTCATGAAAATTCATTTTATAGTTATTTTTAATTCGGACGAACTCCTTTTAGTCAACATTGACATTATCTTTCTTCTGAAAGATATAATAAAAATAGCACGCATTTTATATGATAATGAGCTAAAAAGTAAAATGACATATAGATTGTTATCAATGAGTTACTTTGGAATAGGGAATAAAGATTGTACAGAAACTATAATAAAAAATTATTTCATCTCCGTTGATGATATTTATTTTAAACAATTTTTTTTAAACTCATCATCTTTTTCTTTTCTAATTGAATGATTTTCCATATTGATTTGTTAGAAATTCCATCGAATGATGAACGAAAACGAGCAGCATATCGACAGAAAATCACAGAATGTATTGATCGTGCTGAAAAACTCAAAGATTTAATTCAACAAGAAAAAGGTATAGAAGATTATTTTCATATAGTTAGAAAAGAAAAGAAAAGAAAGTATTTGATATACATGTTTTTGTCCTCGTCTTCTTTTTTCTTACAATTATCCTACAAAATCATGTAGACATATTTCTCTTTTTTATCTCAAACTCAGTGAATAAAACGTGAAAGTATTTTTTTTGTTTGTCATGTCTATTATTTACACATTTACATCACTATTCTTTAATCATACATGCTACTATTTTAATAAAAGAAAGTAGTAAATTTTTCGTCTTTTTTTCATCATTATGTCGAAAATAATGTATATTCTTCTGTACATATTACAATACATCTTTTTCAATCATGCATAAAATATACAAACAATTGTTTCACGAGATTTATATGTACCATCACTATTCACGATGCGTTGTTCAAATAATTATATTGTTATTATTCGAAATGCTTCACATGGTGTTGCACAAATTTCGGGTTCATGTTCATATATACCAGGTGATTGTATTATTGATGCAATGAATAGTATAACATGTTTAAATGATTCAAGTCAATATTCGATTTATGTAATACATTATGTGGTCCATGTCAAACTGAACTTTTATCTGCCAAATGTTCATCAACAGATAAAATCTTTGTTTCATATAATTTAACAAATCAAAATATTCAATCTCAACGTGGTTTTGCATTTCTTTATCATCTTCTACCAAGATTAACTACAATTACATTACCATCAACACGAATATCAACATCATTAGAGTTTGGACTTAGTCCAGTAAGTACAATGATATCACAAACAAGTATATGTGTTCAACAATCAATTCCATTACGATGTAATACTGATTATAGTCTTGTTTTACATAAAATTGATCTTGCTGTAAGTAAAACAGGTATTTGCAATTATTCACCTGATGATTGTTTTGAAGAACGTACTTATTTGCAAGGTATATGTGGTGGAAAATCATCTTGTTATATATTTCCTCCTTTAGTGTCATTATCAAAATGGAATAATTCTAAATCAACTTATTTCTATGCTGAATATCAATGTATTCCAAATCGACCAAAGTTAAATATTAGTATATATTCGTTATCAAATTCATTCGAAAAAGCTGAAGGTGATCCAATTTTTTCATCATTTTGTTATACATCCGAATATAAAGAATGTTAAATTACTTTATAATCAACAAAATTATTAGGAAATCTAGCTCATAAATCATTTTCTATTTTGTATTGTCATGGTTAATTTACCTATTCGATCTTACCGTGAACAAGGTTCACAATGTAATGATGATGATCCATATGTAGAAATTGAAGATTCACAAATTAGTATAACACGTCTTTGTGGTAACAGTCATACACGTAAATTATTTGAAACATGTTCAAATACTATTTTAACTGGTTATAAGAATTTTAATCTAAAAACAAATAATATTCAATATAAAGGTTTTCAATTTTATTTTGAATCAATTGAAAAAATAGAATGTTCTGATATTACTACAATTATATCTCAAAAATCACAAGAACCATTTATTAGCAAAGAAGAAACTCTTTGTGCATTATCAATTGATCCTGAACGTAATAGTTTTTCATGTACACCTGATCATGGTCTTGTCTTTTTACAATCATATGAATTTATTACAAATAATCTAGAATCATGTGATATTACACAACATACATGCCACTATTTAAGTGACGAACCGCAAGCACTCTGTTCTGGTCAACAATCATGTGCATATATACATTCAATATCAATTGATCCACAATTAAATATTTGTCATGGTAATAAAGGTGATTCAATTCAATTTTTTTTTATCAATGTATATCAATAAGACCAACAGTAGCTTATTTAAAAGCAATTTTTTGTATTGATACATACGTTAAATTTAATCGAGGATTAATTGAAACACCAAATTACCCAAATTCATATCAATATGGTTTATAACAATGTTCATTATGTATTTTATTATCAAATACTTTCAAGGGTAAACAACTTTCGATATATCTTTATATTATCGATTTATCAATACGTGACATATCAACAATAGATTCAACATCTACAATTGAATGTTATGATTCAATTATTTATCGTGATGGAAAAATAACAAAATCATTATGTAGAAATATTGATCAACCTATATTCGAATATCAAACAGATAAAGATGCACCTGAATCAATATTGAATATAATGGAATTATTACCTTCGAATATATTAAGTAATTGGCATGGTGCTAGATTTTTTTTCTAATTGAAAATCAATCACTACCAACTCTACCAATAATTCTAACAACAGCAACAACAACAAAACCTGTTGGAAATACTACAATTAAACATTCTAATCATAAATCTATGATTGCCAGTATTCTTAGTGGTGTTATAGTTGTATTATTATATATAATTGGTTTTATATTTTATCGTCATCGTTTATGTTGGAAAGGCATGGAAGGATCAAAAATAGAATATAGACGAGATATAGATACAATTAATAGTAATATGAGTAATGGGCGTAATGAAAATCATAATAGTATTTCATCTGGTGTATTAACAGATTCAGCACCATCAACATTTACTAGTCCATTTTATAAATCAAAAAATACAGAAGATGAGATCAAAGCTTAAAAATATATTTCATTTTTATTCTAGTTTTCTTTTTGAATATTAAATTAAAAAAAATAGATATATATGATTTTAATTGTCTTTGTTTTTTTTATTGTTCTTAATTTTAGCTAAAACTTATCATGAACAAATTCAGATAAAAGATGGTTCATTAGGAAATAGTTATGAAAAAATATTTAATCGATTCTTAGATGAAACTGTTACACAAATTACTATTCAAGATCCATATATACGAGCTTTTCATCAAGTCTCTATGATTTTTTTTTTCTTTTTAATTATTTCTATTCATCTAATAAATTATTATTTAGATTAGCAATTTTTTACGTTTTTGTGAAGTTATTATTAAATCACCAGCAAAGATTAAACGGATTGATTTAATTACGGGTTTTGAAACGGTAGATTAAATGGCATGTTTTGTTTCGTTTTTTTTTTAAATTGTGATAATTTGTAATTAGAATGAACAAGCAAAACAAACACAAATTGAACAATTAAATCAATTTAAAGAACATCTGGCAACAAAATATTCAATTGAACTTACAATACAATATTTAACTGGATTACATGATCGAGAAATCAAGTGAGAAAAGCAAAAAAAAGAGACTACAGTAAAATCTCTCTATATGAGCATCTCCTTATATTGCGAAGTCTATAGTCCGCCTAAGCCAATTTGGCTAGGAATGAACCTCTCATATATGAGCACTTCTTCATTATGCATAGTAGACGCTAGAGACCATCGGGTTCGTGTCTGGAGTTTTTCTGTTGACCGGATTCGAAAATTGTGGACCTGACGGGTTCTAGTAGATGCTTATTTCTGATCCTATAAGCGATAATAATCTGTGTAATGTGAGCAACGTATGTTCTATCATTCACGCGCAGAACGAATGGCGGGACACATAGGAAAGGGAATGGACTAGTCGTGGATATTTAAAAGAAAAAAGAACAATATTAGAAAGCAGGATCAGTGCTTGGATTAACATCTCGTCTTTTTTATGTTAATAACTAATGTTCACGCCAGAGTTAGAGAGCATTGGTGTAAGCTCAATAACTCGACAACACCAATAGTTAGCGACCTGTCGTTCTCAGCAATCGAAAGAAAAGAACTCCGAATGTATTTTTGTCTGTTACTATATAAGACAAAATTAGTTTACAACCCGGCATCTTAGCAAAACATTAAAAAAGAATGTATGAAAGCGATGTTCTTTTTCGAAAAAATTATATAAAATTCTGTTCATTTTAGATGATGAGTTTCAATATAATTTCATCTTATATAGTAACAGGTAAAAAAAACGTTCAGAGGTTTCCTCCTTTGATTACTGAAAACTACAGGTCCCTAGCTGTTGTCATTGTCGAGTTATTAAGATTACACCAATCTCTCATTAAAAAAAAAAGTTGAATTAATTAATTGTTGAAAAGAAGAAAAAGATCACCTTGTGCAGCTGAAAGAGTGATTGCAAAGGCTGCAAAAAAGAAACTGAAAATCTTCCAATAATGAGCAACTCTGTAAAGTTAGCACTTCTGATTGGTCTCGATAGTGCTTGCATTAGAGAGATTTTATTGTACTAGCAGTTTAAATTTTATTTTTATTGAAAGGTTAAATAATGGATGGATAATCAAAATTGGTCGAGGACTTGATTTTTATAAACCACCAGAATGTAAGTATTGTTAAATTTTATTTTTCATGATTATTATTATTATTATTTTTTATATTGAAAGCTAAATTATCTATTGGATATTATGATCTTGATCTTCGTCCATGTCATCAAACGACTATTGATATATTCCATGCGGAAAGAGTTCATCCATCATCATAAAAAAAACGTATGAATATATTTGTATAATTTAATGCATAGTATTTTTTTCTTTGTAACTGTTATTTTATTTTTTTTTCTTATTTTTTATTTAAAAACCAATTCGAGAATCAGATATGTTGTTGTTTTTTTATTAGATAGAAAACTTAATATTATTTTTTTTTTGACAAACAGTTTAGATGGACAACATAAGATTAGGTTTTATTGGTGGTGGTCGGATTGTAGAAGCATTACTTGATGGACTTCATGAAGCAGATTATCTTCAAAAAATGAATATTTTAATTAGTTGTCCATCTGCAAACAATGATACATCATCATTAAAACGTTTTAGTAATACAATACAAATGACAACGTCAAATATATTTTTATGTAGTAATAGTGATATTGTAATATTTGCTGTAAAAGCAAAATTAATAAAATCAATATGTCAAGAAATTGGAAAAACACTTGACAAGAATTATTTAACAAATATTTTATTTGTATCAATAATTCCAGGTTTAACTATTTCAACATTATCTCAATGGCTTCAAACTGATAAAAATATTATTCGAATTATGTATAATGTTAATGCAGCGAAACGTAATGGTTCATATGCAATCTCATCATCATTAAATAATGAAAATAATCATTCATTGGAAATTTATTTAAAATCAATTTTTGATAAAGTTGCTTATTATGCTGGTAATGTTACTGAATCTGAATTAGATATAATGTGTGCTTTAATTGGTAGTGGTCCAGCTTTTTTTTGTACTGCAGTTGAAGGTTTAGCTGATGGTGCTGTTAAAGCTGGTCTTTCTCGTCAATTAGCAAATACATTAGCAGCACGAACAATGCTTGGTTGTGCTGATATTTTAATAACATCTGGTAAACATCCTGCTGAACTTAAAAATGATATATCAACACCAGGTGGTACAACAATTTATGGTTTACATGAACTTGAAAATAAAGGTGTACGTGGTGCATATATGGATGCACTTATGTCAGCATATAATCGTGCACAAACAATGGCTGATCAATTGGCTAAAGAAATAATATGACATCATAATGTGTGTGTTTTAGTTTTTGCGACAATATTCGTTTCCATCTCATACAATAATCTTTCGTTTAAATTCTTTCTCAATTTGATCCATTCCGATTGATTCTCATTTTCGATCCCTTTCCAGTTCAGTCATAATTCATTAAATAAAATGAATACGATAAACCTTCATTGATCTTTATGATTAGTTATAGTGACAGACAAAAGTTTAGAGCAGCTGTATGTTTAAGTTTTCTTCTCGATGGTGATAGCTAGCAAGGCGTTGAAAAAATATCTATGTAGCTGAAAGAATTCTCTATTAGGATTGTTAGGTCTGAAGACTTCAACAAAATTGCTCGAATGACAGTCTGCGAAAAACTAAGACTCGTAAAACCAGCTATCTGGCTTCCATTTGAAGTTTTTAGAAAAAGATTTTATTTGATAGGGCAAATGATTCTGAGCATGGTTCGAGGTCTTTAACCTCTTCATGACCTTTCTTCATGAAACTGCATTCAATTTACAGAAGTCTCCAAAGGGCTCAAATATGGCGAAGATATTGAAGTTTTCAATAAGAAGAACAGAAAAATGCTTCTTAAGCCTTTTGTAAATTGAATACAGTTCGATGAACGAAGATCATGGATATATCGGAAGTGTATCATTTTTTTCAGAATTATCTGCTCTATCAAATAAAATCTTTCTTCAAAAGCTACGAATGAAAGCTAGCAAGCTGGTTTTGGAGGTGTCGGTTTTCCGCAGATCCTCATCTATGCAGCAGTTTTGTTGGAGCCTTCGGGCCTCTCAATCTTGAAAGGGAACCCTTTCATCTACATAAATGTTTTTTCAGATTCTTGCTAACTATTACCATCGAGAAGAAAACTTAAGAATATAACTACTCTAAACTTATATTCGCCACTCTATTTAAAGAACTCATTCTCGAGTGATCATTGGTTGAGCAAAACCCATCTAGTAATTCGACTGAAACCAAATAACATGTCAGTGATCATTGTTAAGACATTCAAATCATACGAAATTTTCAGGATATGTTAGAGCTATAGTCAAGAGGCTATGATAAAATTTTCAGTCCTATACCATGATATTTTTGTGAGATATTCAACTAACGAGGATTGAAAATAGCTCATTCAGCAAACGAAAATTCTTTGTGGACCTTCATTCTATACATTTGATTCTTTCTTTTTTCTGAAAGAGTATATCAGGATACAGGGCATGACAGAGTGGTTTTTGTTAATTTTTACTTTTTTAAGAGAATAGAAGTTCAATGTCTTGAAAAACTCTCACGAAGTGGCGCTCAAATTGTATCAGTACTCTTTTTTTTTCATAATAGTAGCAAAGCTTAACTCAAAGAATATACTTCGTCATGCCGTACATCTTGACATGCGTTTTCAAACAAAGAAAAAAGTAATTGACTACAATGAAGCTCCTTCGAGAATTCTAGAATGCGTGATCAATAGCACTGAAGCAGAGAAAAGGTGACAAAAATTTTCCACTTTATATGGAAAAAAAACCGTATTTTTCAAGCAGAAAATGACAGAAATTTTTGAAAGAAAACTGTGTCAGATAAAAAGAATCATGTCATTTATGTAAGATCACGCATGGGTCTATCTTCTCAAGCGTTTATTTCAATTTTCATTTTTTTCACGAAAATTGACTATTTTTTAGCGAGAGGCTTAATTATCAAAGTTTTACAATTAGAAATTCAATGCGTCACAGTCGTAAAAACAAACAATTTAATTTTTTTTTCATTATATATAGATATATAATGTGTCTGTGCGTTATAAATTCTGACAACTTTTGTATTTTTTCTGTTGTTCTTTCTTATACGAGTTATTCTCGTCTATATTACCTATAATTATAAATCATTGTAATTGGTAATATTATAACCGAATTGAAAAGCGACTATAATGAGAGATCATCGAATGGGATTGTATCAGGAATAAATCATTATTTTATTTTAGATAATGTTAACCATTATTCGAAATATCGTTGTTTGTCAACAAACGAATGTTTTTCGTTTAAATTCTTTTATTCGTTTAACGAGTTCATTAAAAGAAAAACATAAAGAACATTCAATAAAGGCAAAAGATTTTTTTTTTGATCCAAATTTAATTCAAGCAATTGAAAAAATAAAACAAGGTGATTATGCACCAACACCAATTGATATGAATTCATTAAAATCTAATGAAAATGTTTCATCAATTGATATGAATTCATTAAAATCTAACCAAAATGTTTCATCAATTCATACGAATTCTAATAATCCATTATCAAAACGTGAAAATCTTCGTCAAAGTATTCTTGGTAAACTTGTTTATGTTGGAAAATTAGATAAACCATTTAAAGCAGCTAAATCACTTTCATTAGCATCAAGTATTGGTGGTGCTATTTGTTATCCAATTATGTTACCAAAAATTCTTGAAGAAGCATCTTTATTTGTAGCTATTGGTTATACAATAATATCAGCAACATTTGTTGTTTTAACACCATCTCTTATACAATTAATATGTAAACGATATTTAACATCATTATATTATCATGAACAAACAGAACAATTTACTGGTTTTTATAAAAATTTTTTTATGATGAAAAAACAAATAAAATTTCGTGCTGAAGATGTTGAAGTACCTCCAATAACTGGAATGTTTACATCAATGTTAATTAAAAAAAAGCCATTCTTTATTAATCATGATGATTTTAATGATAAACAAGTATTAATTAAAATGTTAGGTTATGATAAAGAATTTGATTTTAATAAATATACAAAAGATATACAAAAAGACGATGATGATGATGATGATAATAATGTTAATGTTAATAATAATAATAGGACAAAATGAACTTTAAAAAAAAGAAAAAAAGAAACAAATCTTTAGTTGTTCAGTTATAATAAAACAAAAAAGAAAACTAGATTGATATTGCTTGAAAAATATATTGTTCAAACAAGACAGAAAACTCAAGTTGTTCGACTTGTAAAAAATAAAAGATTCAAATAATCATAATCAATATCATGAGACTATGCTAAAGACATTTATTAAGGTACGAAACACTTTATAGCAATTTTTTTTTCTCGAATTCCACAACCAAAGTTCATATTTTGTAACGCGATGATCTTAAGAACGTCACATTGTCTGATACTGAGATGTTAACATTTCAATATGATACAAATATTATCCGATTTTTTGTATGATTTTTCGTTTGTCCTAAGTAAAATCCGGATATTATAAATAATCTATGGATTTAATTTTCATTATATCAATATAATGAAGCAAGACTATGCGTTAATCTTTAAAATAATAATCCATCAATGGATAGTTGCTGACATATTTCTGTTGTTAATTAACAGAATTCTATAGAGGACTACTAATAATACTGTTTGTTATGGTTACACAGGAAAAAAGAGAGTCGGAAATATCAAAATGTTCTTTTTTTTATCAAAGACTCGTAGAAAAAACAAAACTTCACAATTTGTTGATGACAGTAATATAAACGAATACAATTTCATTCATATATATGAATACGATACGTAAAGCTAATGTACAAAGGATATTAAATATTGACATCTATTGTATTTCAACAAAATGTTTAGTGAAACACGACCTGATTTCGCAGTAATTTCCTAATGTGAACAAATTGAATTAAGAAATGTGTTTTCCATAATAACCTAGCAGTAAAAATTGAGTGAATGTACTGTAAATTTTTTCTACTTTGAGAAAAGTGTAAAAATTTTGTTACTTTCAATCAGATTTTTATATAAGAGTCAAATTTTGAGATAAGTTTACAACTCCAAACCATTTTCTGGGTAGCAAACATTAATGTAGGGTCCTACAAAATTCTATCTTGTCTCGTAGGTCTTTCTGCAAGAAATATTTAGGTTAGAAAAGCTTCTTAATCTTTTTTTTTTGTTGCTGAATGTACTTACATTCGCAACAATTGTGAGTCAAAGCGATGGCTATTGAATTTCATGGAAGATTCAAACTTGTACACATTTAAAAAAAAAAACAGATAAATTTATTTCGTCTTCCAAGATGATAGCCAAATTAGTCATCGAGTTAGTTCTGCCTTTGTGACAGTATTTTCAAAATCTTTTATAATTGATTTGTTATCAGCAATGATGATAAAGCTCGCGCGATTATTAGAGAAAATTTGAATGAATGATTCTCTACTCTGTTGCTTGAAAAACTCTAAATACTTTAAAAAACCTTGACTTCTCTAAGAAAGCTATAAACTTTGTCGATAATTTCAATTGCCATTTCATAAGTAAAATCATTCTATTAAATGAAGTCTCCATAAAATGGAAGAACCTAAGGTCATATCTTCCGAAATAAAAGATAGAAGTTGTCGACAAACTTTCACAATTTGCTGAAAAACAAAGCTCCGATAATTTATCCAAAATGAGAACAAAGTATAGCCTAAACTATTTACAAATCAAAGAAATTTATAATCTGAATTTCTTCGAAAATCAAACGAAACTTATCACAAACATTTCTCAAAATGGAAGGAACTTCCACTCAAACTTTCAAAAGCTGAAGAGAATACCTTTCCACAGGTCACCTCACCACTAATTATATATAATACGCTTTACAAAATTAAATTTTATTTCAATTAAAACTTTTCAATTGCACATTTTTTTTTCTGTAATTACTTCAAACTAATTGAAATTTTTCTTTTTACTTTTGTGGAATAAAACAAAAAAAAACCCATATCTTATTCAAGATTGAAAATAGATTGCTATCTATTGTTACGCTCTGTCAAGGATTTCTATCTACTCGTGCTATTGCTTTTTAACACTTAGTAGATTACATTAAGAAAAAAAAGAATTTTTTTTTAAATCAATTAAAGACAAGTGTTCAATTTGAACTTAGAGATGTAATAGTAAGAATAAAAAGAGACTAACTTATTTTTAGAATATATCTTAAAATCTTGTGAAGATTAGCTTCTTATCGAATATAATAATATTAAACTACACTGTAGATTTATTTCTCTTTTCTTTTGTATTATATCTTAATA